GCCACAAGTCACAATTGTTGACATTGAAATTGAAATCGATATTTACCTTAGAAGTATAAGTTGAATATATAAATATATAGGAGCGCGGCGCAATCCATCTTTTACCAAATGTATAAATGTATTGGGCAGCACAGCGGCTAAATGGTTAGCACGTCGCCTGGCAGCACTAGGGTCGCCGGTTCGAATCCCAACCACAGCACCTCCTGTCTGCAGTTTGCATGTTCTCCCTGTGACTGTGTGGGTTTCCTCTGGGTACTCCGGTTTCCTCCCACACTGCAAAAACATGCTGGTAGGTTAATTTGCTCCTGTCTAAATTGGCCCTAATATATGTATGAATGTGAGTTAGGGACCTTAGATTGTACACCCCTTGAGGGTTAGGGACTGATGTGAATGTACAATATATATGTAAATTGCTGCGTAAATTGACGGTGCTATATAAGTACCTGAAATAAATAAAATAAAATAGTAGGGGAATATGTTGAAAAATACATTTTGTTCTTTTAGGACCATGCACACTAGCATTTTTTTAAGCTAGAAGCTGCTATTAGCATTTTGTTTTGCTAGAAGCTAAATAGCGTTCTATGTGTACATGCACACTACTTTAGGCTATTAGTGTTTTTTGAGCTTAAGCGTCTAGAAGCAGAAAAAAAAATGTTTTTTGTAGAGTTTTTTGCAGCGTTTTTCCAGCAGAAAAAAAAAGCTACTAAAACGCTTCTAACAGGTTTTTTTTTTTTTCTACATGTACTGAAAAAACACTAATGCTCCTAAAATGGTACTGCCTGTGTTTTTTATCCAGTGGTTTTTGAGCTTAAAACAAATGCTAGTGTGCATGGAGCCTTAGAGCTTGTTCACACTTGACCTCTTCCCAAAGGACCCTATAGCATTTGGGGAGCGTCACCATAGACTTAAATGGGAGGCTTTGAAAGGCTTCAGCTCCTCCTGACTTGACATGAGGCGTCAATTTTGCCAAATGCTAATGCATCAGTGTGAACAGCATTATGTGCTGCCAGGTGTATAATTTTCATAGGCGTTTGAGGAGCGTTAAAAAACGCCCCTCAGATGCCTGCAAAACACCTGCTTATAAAGCTAGTGTGAACTGAGCCTTATTATATAAACTCAAAAGTCTCGCTTTGACTTGAACGTCCCTTGTATAATGCAGTGGTGTGACCAATACAATTGCTATAAAAAAAACCCCCAAAAAGCTAAATGGATGCTGCTAGAGCATTGGGCCCAGAGGCGAACATGAGCTAGTGTTTGTTTCAGTAATAGTAAAAAGTGCAGCGCTATGATATCATAAAGTTAAATATACAACTGATGAATAAATACATAAAGTGCCCAGTGCGTCTTAACCCTGTCTGGCACACCCCTTTTGACAACATACGTGGTACGAAATGCGTTAAGGAGGAGCCGCACGCCGTGATGTCACGTCGCCGGATCACGGAGGTCCGGTGGCCATCTTTAGATTCCAGCTGGTCAGTTTTCACATCAGCAATTATTGCTGAACTATAAACAATGATCCTCCTGCGCTTAAAATGGAGCCTTAATCCTAAAGCTGCTGACACTAACCTTGTACCCAATAAGTGAAGTGACTCATAAATACAAAGTGTAGCGCTAAATCAATACTAAACATAAATAATGACACAATCCCCCTAAACCAGTGGTTCTCAACCTTCCTAATGCCGTGACCCTTTAATACAGTTCCTCATGTTGTGGTGACCCCCAACCATAAAATTATTTACCCAGTAATTATAATTATAATAATATAATGAGTGTTGTTTTTACCTCCAATACTGCTGCTTTCAACACAGTAGCTGCTTTCAACACAGTAGCTGCTTTCAACACAGTAGCTGCTTTCAGCACAGTAGCTGCTTTCAACACAGTAGCTGCTTTCAGCACAGTAGCTGCTTTCAGCACAGTAGCTGCTTTCAGCACAGTAGCTGCTTTCAACAGAGTAGCTGCTTTCAACAGATTAGCTGCTTTCAGCACAGTAGCTGCTTTCAACAGAGTAGCTGCTTTCAGCACAGTAGCTGCTCTTTACACATTGGAAATATGTGTTTTCTGACGGTCTTAGGGGACCCCTGTGCAAGGGTTGTTCGACCCCCAAAGGGGTCGCGACCCACAGGTTGAGAACCACTGCCCTAAAAACACAAAAAGGGATATACAAACAATAGTGCGACACGTGAATTCCCTCTGTGGGAATATGGCAAGTGATCTATATAATGCAATAGTGATTACCACACCAAAAAACAAATCAATACAGATATATCATAAAACGTACCATCATAAACAAGTCCACAAACGGGTGTGTGTGTATATATTTATATATATATATATAGAGAGAGATCTATCTATCTATATATATATATATATATATAGATAGATAGATAGATCCAATGATGGTGCTCCAACCCAACTCTCATGCAAGTGACTGTGTAAGTGACCAGTACGTGATAATCCTTAAGTGGCCAAAATGCCCCCTCACCTCCTTACATCGACCCCACAGGGTCAGCTCGCTCAGAGGATAAACCAATCCTATTAAGGGCAGATTCCTCAAAGGTTCCCCTCAGGGTAGTATGCGTTCCTCACTCCAAGCCTCCATATAATACACAGCAAACCTCTCCCACGATCATAGATAAACCAGAAGATCTTCCATAGTGTAATCTATTTTAATCCATCATTCATATACAGCACCATTTAAAAATGCTCACTCACATGCGCCTTCTTCTCTGTAAACGCTATATCACCTCATGCTAGAGGTGTACTGCATGGGCATCAAAAGGTGTTCCAATATGTACTGGACACTTACACAGTCACTTGCATGAGAGTTGGGTTGGAGCACCATCATTGGAGATACCTTCATACATACATACATACATACATACATGCATGCATACATACATACACATTGTTTGTGGACTTGTTTATGATGGTACGTTTTATGATATATCTGTATTAATTTGTTTTTTGGTGTGGTAATCACTATTGCATTATATAGATCACTTGCACTTGTCATATTCCCACAGAGGGAATTCACGTGTCGCACCATTGTTTGTATATCCCTTTTTGTGCATTTAGGGGGATTGTGTCATTATTTATGTTTAGTATTTATTTAGCGCTACACTTTTGTATTTATGTGCTTAACTATATTATTCCTATGGATGATGATATGCTTCTTTCTCCATAAACTATCCAAATATTACTACACTATGGGCACCCTTCTTTCTGGCTCCACACCGAGGTATTAACTTTACAGAATCTCGGGTGAAACCAGGCCATAACCAGCCCCAGAATCCTGAGGAGGGATATCCATACCAGGCTCCACATCCATCCCAACTTAAAGGGGACCCCTGGCTGATTTCAACATATTGCTTATACTGCGCATTTAAAATGCGCATCTGGTGAGTGTGTATTTTTACCACCTTCCGCACGTCACCAAATCCTCTTTATATGGAATATTGGAAAATTGTATTCCTCACTTCAGGATAAGATTCTCCACCACTAAGGACTATTTGCACAATTTTTTGGGACATTTATTTATTTATTTACCATTTTTAATGTTTATTTCACACACCAGTCCACTTCAGAATATTTATTAATTATTTATTTCACTCATTCCTTGGATTTCAGATGCACTGGGCACTTTTATGTATTTATTCATAAGTTGTATATTTTACTTTATGATATCACAGCTCTGTACTTTTTACTATTACTCATGCTCTTTTGAAGGTCATTGGTTCCTCTATGGTGCATTTAGCTGCTACATTTTTTTTTTCAAGCACTCGCTGACTCTCTTTGTATATACTTAGTGTTTGTTTCGGTCTTAAGAGGCAGCTCTTCACCATACAGGGTATCCCTAGGGGTCTCTGGAGCAGTCCAAAGAAGGTGTAAATGTATGAATCTTGGTAAAGGATCAATAGATAAAGCCAACATGTTTGGGGGCTCACAACACCTCCTTCATCAGAGGGTATAGTGTCATTGTGGGCACCAATATGGCACATTTATAAAGCACGGCACGGTTCCTAATAAATGTCGTCTGAAACAAGGAGCGCCATTCATTCCAATGAATGACTGAAAAAAAAAATTTGCCAAAAACAGTAGAGCACAGTCACTTGACTTGTCAAGGTCATGTGACTGGCCTCTCCTCCAGTCTCAGATTGTTTCTGCACCATTAGTGGGAACCTGCAGGAACTCCCTGTATTTTTTGAATGGCTCATAATATAGAAGCGTAGTGTGAACTCTGCGGCATCTTGCAGATAATTATATCAGCTCTCTGCCACGAAAAGGCCCCTTTGTTATAAATGTAATCAATAATGGATAAGTTCACCTTTTAGATAGATTTTTACAATATTTAGGGTGTAACATGTCCCCTTTGTGACAGTGGGCCAGGGATTTTCTCCCCTCACCTGCTGTCACAATTTAGAAAAAAAAAAAAAACTAGCCGTGCTGGGAGTTCTATGAATGGGAGAACTGCAACTGACTGCTTGTAGTTCTCAATGAACTACCAGGACGCTGATGAGACCTCTAGGTGGTCCATTGATCCTTCCTGTCATTCAGTAACTGCCTGCCCATATGGGCAGAGAGCTACACTGATAAGTCTGTAGGAGCCTGAGATTGCACCCACAATCTGCTGATTTGCGGGTGCAATGCTTTACAGGCTCCTGAAATTAAAAAAAAAAAAAAAAAAAAAATATTAAATGCACATTGGAAATATGTATATGTGTAATATTTTTGCAAATGCGGCATTATTTTTGTACTGGAAAATCAAATAAAAGTTTAAGTTAAAAAAAAAAACATTTTTTTTACCTGCAAAAATATGTGCATTTAATTTTTTTTTTTTTTTCGCAAATGGGAACTTTATCCTTTTAAACAATATTTACCAAACTATGTAGCACAAGGGCCTACCGAAAAGGTCAATTGAAATTATTTTCGATTAGGTAGGCTTTTACAGCACTACATCAGTTGTAATCATTTCCTGACCTGACTGCTTCTTTTTATTGTAGAAATTTTTACAGCAAGTTGTGAGTAAAAGCAAGAAGAAGCTGTGCAGAGTTACAGGTAAACGCCATTTTTTTTTTTTTATTTTATTGTATTTTAAAAATGTTCTGTATATACATTTTTTAGAGAGAGAACTTTAACCACTTCAAGTTTGGACACTTTCACCAACTGAGCGCTGAGCAAACTGTTGGCGCTGTATAAATACTAATAATATATGTGAAAGTGTTTAACAAAACAAAATTAAACAACAACAGTGAAGTCCATCAATTAGTCCATCAACTATTACCCCTAACTTCCCTAATTCATCACGGTGAAAAATAGTTCAAACTGTAGAATATAATCAAAACAATTCTTCCAGCGATCTCCCCGATGTATATGCCTCAAAAAAAGAGAATATCACATAGTGCATTACCTTTTATAAACATAGATATTCATTTCATACCATGCAATTTATGCAGTGAATAATTGTGAAAAAAATAGTGAAAAATCGTGAAAACCGTGAAATAATCTGTGAAGACACTGTGTATGTGAATCACTCTTCAGTGCCACACAAAAAAATACTGTATATTTACAGTAAATAAATGCTATATAAATACTGTATAATAATAATAATAATAATAATAATAAAAAAATTCCAGCCCAGGCCAATTTTCAGCTTTCAGCACTATCACACTTTGAATGACAATTGCGCAGTCATGCCACACTGTACCCATATGAAAGTTTTAGCATTTTTTTTGAGACAGATAAAACTTTATTTTGGTGGTATTTATTCACCACTGGGATTTTTATTTTTTTGCTATATAAATGAAAAAGTTCAAAAATTTTGAAAAAAAAAAATGGTTTTTTCTTTTGCAAATAATTATTTGCAAAAGAAAAACATTTTTTTTTTTTTTCAACTTTTTCATTTATATAGCAAAAAAAAATAAAAATAAAAATGAATACATTTTGGCCAAGATTTATGAAGAAAGATTATAATCTTTCTTCATAAATCTTGGCCAAAATGTATTCATCTAACTTTTTAGTAAAAAAAAATAACCCAAATTAGTTTATAAGCAAAAATTTAAATTTTTCTAAAAAAATGTTTTTACGTTTTTTAATCTTTTTTATATTCTTATTTGTATTTTTTTTTTTTTTTTTTAACATACTGTCAGACTAGCAGTACAGTATCTCCATAGTGACACTGTACTACTTGGGGGGGGGGGTGATGATGATTTTTTTTTTTTCTTTTTTTAAACTGATTGCTTTTACATTCTTGCAGCCATTGAGAAATACCGTGTGAGCTGTGATTGGTCACTGTTGTGAATAGCCTTGTACCATGTGACCTCTGTGATCATTCACAGATTTCACACGTAGTAAGCAATGATGTCAGAAGTCACATCTTACTTACTACTATTCATGTGATCACTGATTGGCCAATCAGTGATCACATGATCGGGACCTCACACAGAGGTCCCGTACAGCGAGCACCAGATCGCAGTGCTGTGCGCTTCCTGGGAGCGCGCACAGGCTGTAAATGTGGGGCGCTGTTTATGAACGGCAACCCGCTCCCACACTGTTCCTGTCAAGCTGTTTTATGTACATGGGCCGGACGGGAAGTGGTTAAACAGGTAACCTAGCTACTTCTGCCAATCAGTTCCCCATGTCCCATATCCACCTCTAGCCTCCTCACCATATAGTGAACCAGCATCAATAGCACAGAACTTCCCATCAAGTAGTAACGTAGTGAATTGGGACCTCACACAGATGTCCTCTACAGCGATGTGTGTTCCGCTGTGTCCTCCTGGACACAATGGGCACTGATCGCGGTGCTGCGTGCTTCCAGGGAGCGCGCACAGGCAATGGATGGGGGGGACGTTTAGAAACATCCCCCCGCATCAGCAGCGCTCCCGTCCGGCCATTTACCTACGTGGGCCGGACGGGAAGTGGTTATAAAGCATCTCCACACAGTCTGGATGTGAGGCATGTTATTTCATTAATTAATAATCTTACATTGCCACACTCTAGGGTCCTTAGGTTGTTTCCCACCAGGGCCATTGTCTTCTTGGTGTTTATATATTCTTCCCTCTGCGTTCTAAATTTCTCACAGTTAAAGCTGAATTCCAGGCAAATGGCAAAATACACAGATGAAATGCAGGCGTTGCTTTGCCTTCCAAAGGATTTTTATTTCTGTCCATCCAGTCCTTAGATTTAGTCAGCTCTGCCCCACAGCACTGCCCTGTCTGGGCAGGAGATGCGATTTTACTTATTACTACCGCAATTAAAGCGGTAGTAAACCGTATCCGAAAAAAAATCTTGCAAGGTAAAATCATAATGTGCTAGTATGCATTGCGTACTATCACGTTATAATGGACTTACCTTGAAACGAAACCCTCCAGCCGAGCGCTGTCAATGCTCCCCGGGGCTTCCACCTTCACCCGGTCTTCCTTCTGGGTTCACAAATTCTGGCTGAGCCGCGATGACGTCTCTCCCGGGTATGCACACGGTAGTCCCGGGCCACTGCACAGTGCTGTGAAGGTACAGCAGGGGTATGCTGTTCCTTCAGAGCGCATGCACCAGCTATCAAAAAGGGCCAATGTCTCCTAAACAGTGCACATTTAGGAGATCTTTTACCTACAGGTAAGCTTTATTATAAGCTGTACCTGTAGGTAAAATTATTAAAGAAGATTTTACTACCACTTTAACCCCTAGACGCCGAGCGCATGCAAAAATGCGGCCTCTCAGCGTCTGGGCCTTGACGCAGAGCGGCCGCATATTTGCGTGCCATTTGAAAATACATATGTGCTGAGAGTGCGCGCCCTGCGTGTTCCCAGCATATATGTCCATGACTCACAGAAAGGTCACGATCTTCCCTTGCAATCAGGACCTTTTCCGATCATGTGACCGTTGACAGTGAATGACAGCGGTCACATGATCCTAAAACCCCGCCCCGCCTCCCGGCATCTGAAACTCTTAGGGCTCATTCACACTAGGCTGTTTTACAAACGCTTGCCAAACGCCCCTATAGCGTTTGGCAAGCGTTGGTCCGGTGTTTGAGGAGCGTTTTTTTTAACACTCCGCAAACGCTCCGCAAACGCCGCATGCGCGGTTTAACGGCGTTTGCCGAGGGTTAAAAACGCCCCACAAACACCTATAATGCAGTTTGAATGGTGATACCGCTCCGCAAATGTCCCGCAACCGCATGTTTGCGGAGCAGCACCATAGACTAGAATAGGAGGCTTCAACGCCTCCTGACTCGACCAGAGGCGTCCGTTTTGCCCCAACGCAAACGCTCCCGTTAGAACAGCACCACGTGCTTTAATGTGCAGAATTGGCAGAGGCGTGTGGGAAGCGCTTCCCAAACGCCTCTCTGCCGCCTGCACACGACGCTAGTAGTGTGAACGTAGCCTTAAAGGGCCGGGAGGCGCCAGTGCAGTGGGGTTAAGAAACACAAGTATTTTACCTTCCTCAGCCTGTGAGTGAACACTGAAAGGAGAAGTAGCAGGCTGATGAGCTCATCATTTTGTCACTGTTCTCTTCTGCTCTACAACTCCCCCCTTACTTCTCCCTGCTTCATCCTGTACAGGCAAGCAGATATACCTACCAACAGATCTGCAGGAGACCTGCATGGCACCAGCAATGCTTTACAGGCTCCTGCAGCCGAAAATAATAAATTCACTTTTTTTTTTTTTTTAACCTAACAAAAGCAGACTGCCATTACTGACTTTCTGTAAATGATATTTGTCTGCCTCTTTCTGGTTCTAATAATTGGAGATGCTTACCTGGAACAAATCTGAAGATCAGGGAATTCAGAGTGAATGTAGGATTTCTTATCTGTATCTTTGTTCCAGGTAAGTGATGTTGAAAATAGTCATTGAAATCAGCATAACAGCCAGGGGAATGGTATCTTCGAGCCCACTTGTTCGCATGGTCAGCCTGTCATGCTGCGAGTGCCAGTAAAATATTCACCAAACCGCGTTCTTAACCACTTCCAGACCGGACACTTTTACCCCCTTCCTGCCCAGGGCAATTTTCAGCTTTCAGCGCTATCACACTTTGAATGACAATTGCGCAGTCATGCAACACTGTACCCAAATTAATTTTTTACCATTTTTTTGAGACAGATAAAGCTTTATTTTGGTGGTATTTATTCACTGCTGGGATTTTTATTTTTTTTGCTATGTAAATGAAAAAGTCCAAAAATTTTGAACAAAAGTGTTTTTTTTATAAAATTTTGCAAATAAATAATATTTCATCATAAATCTTTGCCAAAATGTATTCCATTATCTTTTTAGTAAAAAAACCAAAAAAAAATTAGTTTATAACCAAAAATTATAATTTTTAAACATATTTTTTTTTTACATTTTTATTTTATTTTTTTATATTATTTTTTATTTATTTTAATTTTTTTTACATACTGTCACCCTAGCAGTACAGTGTCACCATGGTGACACTGTACTACTTGTGGGGGGTGATGAAGATTTGTTTTTTTTTTTTTTTTTTTTTTTACAATGGTTGCTTTCACACCCATATAGGATGTAAAAGCAATCATTTCTCTTTCTCTCTGTGTGCATTCCTGCACTCATTGAGAAGTACTGACTGAGCTGTGATTGGTCACAGCTTGTCACATGGTACAAGGCTGTTGTGAATAGTCTTGTACCATGTTACCTCTGTGATCATTCACAGATTTCACACGTAGTAAGCAATGATGTCACAAGTGACATCTTGCTTACTACTTTGCATGTGATCACTGATTGGCCAATCAGTGATCACATGATCGGGACCTCGTACAGAGGTCCCGTCCGACGATCGGTGTTTCACTGTGTCCGGAGGACACAGCGGGCACCAGATCGCAGTGCTGCGCGCTCCCAGGGAGCGCGCACAAGCAGGGTGCGGGGAGGCCGTTCATAAACGGCCACCCGACCCTGTACTGCCGCTGTCCGGCCGTTTATATGCAACAGCCGGTCGGGAAGTGGTTAAACTATGCTGGGGCCCTGAAGGAGCTCTTATAGCAAAGGAATATAACCAGTGTTACCAGTTGAACAGAGCAGGTGTGGGTTCTCACTGAGAATGTGAAAAGATGACACTTTTTTGTCCCAAAGTGACATAATCTCTTTCACTCTGTGTGAATGGAGTGCATTCTGTGACCCCAGCCCTGACCAGCACTCTTTACATGTCAAAAGAGGATATTTGTATTTAAATTGGAAGGAAATGTTTCCCATGAATTTGGGACTGACATTGTCCATTCATTAATACTCCCCAAAAACTACACTCAAGTGTGATGTTCACCTTTTTTTTTTTTTTTGCCTCATTATGACTAGTCAGGACAATGTGGTAATTGTATGCAGATTTTGCTGTATTTTGATTTTTAAAAATGGTACTCTTATTTGAATATCTTTAACCTTTTGAGGACTGTAAGATTTTGGAACGCCAAAAGAATCAATTTTTTTGTTTTTAAAGTTCGTACACTTCAGTTGCTGTAACTAAGCCATTTCATGAAATAATTGGCAAAAAGCTAGATCCATTTGTTGTTTGTTGATAAGAACTAATATTTTGACTCAAACCAAACAAAAAAAAGAGTTTTAAGTTCTTAATCAGATGATACACGCAATTAAAAACATGGGACAAATACGTCCCTTGGTCCTCAAAGGGTTAACCGCTTCCCCGCCACCATATAGCAGATATAATGCTACCCGGCTGCACAGGTGCGCAAAATCACGTACAGTGAAGGAAATAAGTATTTGCTCTCCTGCTGATTTTGAATGTTTGCCCACTCAAAAAGAAATGATCGGTCTAAAAATCGAATGTTCGGTGTATTGTAACACTGAGAGACAGAATAGCAACAAAAATTCAATAGAAATGCATGTCTAACAAATGATGACTGATTTGCATGTTCATGAGGGAAAGAAGTATTTGATCCCCTATCATTCAGCAGGATTTCTGGCTACCAGGTGTCTTTCATAGAGGTAACAAGCTGAGATTAGAAGCAGTCTCTTAAAGGGAGTGCTGCTAATCTCATTTTGTTACCTGTATAAAAGACACCTGTCCACAGGAGCAATCAAACAATCAGATTGCAAACTCTCCACCATGGCAAAGACCAAAGAGCTGTCCATGGATGTCAGGGACAAGATTGTAGACCTACACAAGGCTGGAATGGGCTACCAAACTATCACCAAGCAGCTTGGTGAGAAGGTGACAACAGTTGGTGCAATCATTCACAAATGGAAGAAACACAAAACAAGTGTCAGTCTCCCTAGGTCTGGTGCACCATGCAAGATCTCACCTCGTGAAGTGTCAATGATCATGAGAACAGTGAGGAATCATCCCAGAACTACACGTGAGGATCTTGTCAATGATCTCCAGGCAGCTGGGACCACAGTCACCAAGAACACAATTGGTAACACACTACGCCGACAAGGATTGAAATCCTGCAGTGCCCACAAGGTCCCTCTGCTCAAGAAAGCACATGTCCAGGCCCATCTGAAGTTTGCCACTGAACATCTGAATGATGCAGAGGAGGACTGGCTGAAAGTGTTGTGGTCAGATGACACCAAAATCGAGCTCTTTGGCATCAACTCAATTCGCTGTATTTGGAGGGGAAGAATGCTGCCTATGACCCCAAGAACACCATCCTAACTGTGAAGCATGGTGGTGGAAACATTCTGCTTTGGGGATGTTTTTCTGCTAAGGGGACAGAACAACTGCACCGCATCTAAGGGACGATGGACGGGGCAATGTACCATCAAATCTTGGGTGAGAACCTTCTTCCCTCAGCCAGGACATTGAAAATGGGTCGTGGATGGGTGTTCCAGCATGACAATGACCCAAAACACACGGCCAAGGCAACAAAGGAGTGGCTCAAGAAGAAGCACATCACTGTATATGTATGTGTGTGTATGTGTATATATATACAGACACGTGTGCGGCTGCTTACAACTAAAACTGTCAGTATAGTTCGGGCTAATTCACAGTAGTGCGTTGATTTGTGTTTTTAGCACAGCTATAAAACACAGGTCAACGCAAAAACACCTAAAAAAAAACAATTGTGTTTCTCTGCTCCTCGCACGACCTCCTGCTCTCTAGCTCCCTTGTCTCCTCCTCCCATGCTCGTCTCCAGAACTTCTCCAGAGCTTCCCCATCCTCTGGAACTATCTCCTGCTCTGCCCACTTTTAGGCGATCTCTGAAAACCTATCTTCAGGGAAGCCTATCCCGCCCTCAGCTAATAATGGAATCTTCTACTCTTCCAACCACTCCATCCCTCACAGTTATTACCTTTTGTACCACCAGCCCCTCCCTCTTAGATTGTAAGCTCCCAGGATCAGGGCCCTCCTAACCCTCTTGTATTGAACTGTATTGTTGCTGTATTGTCTCCCGTTATATTGTAAAGCGCTGAGCAAACTGTTGGCGCCATATAAATCCTGTATAATAATAATAATGTGTCCTTTACACTACAACATGTTATGTTGTGTTAAAATGTGACATGTATGCAATGCAGGTCAACGCAGTAAAATGCAAGTAAAGAAAGTTAGTTTGCTTTGTGATTTGCTTTGTGACCCAGAGGATGTGATGTCACAGGAAATCCTGCAAAATGCCGTGCATTTTCACCTGCGCCAACTCGTGTCAAAACGCAAGTCAACAAGCTTTAAGACCCCCATAAAATGGATGGAAGCTTACATCCATTTTTCTTGCATTTCATCGCGAGTCATTGTGAATTCAACCTTTAAAGTGTTAATAAACCCACCACAGTACAATCAGTCTGTAGATGCAGTAAAGCATGCTTGTTATACTCACTGTGGAACCTAAGGGGTTAATGCTCTGCATTGTGTAAAAAGGCCATTTGATCCTGTTTTCTCTGATCCTCCTCTTGTTCAAATGTCCAACTGATAAGACCGCTTGAACCCATAGCCACATGCACATGCTCAGTTTACTGTGTACTGCTAGAGCAGTGGTTCTTAACCTGGGTTCGATCGAACCCCAGGGGTTCGGTGAGTCAGTCTCGCGGGTTCGGCGGAGGTGAAGACCCACACCCGACTCATATGATTCGTGCAGTAAATATTCATTATTATGTTTTTGTTTTTGTGTGAAAATCATGTTTTAATGGTTTTGTTCTTTGTTCTTAACAGTTTTGTTCATTTTGTGCACCTATGTATAAATATATACCTATGTTTTGAATTTTAAAAATCATATTTTATTTTTCCAATTAAGAAGGGTTCGGTGAATGCGCATATGAAACTGGTGGGGTTCAGTACCTCCAACAAGGTTAAGAACCACTGTGCTAGAGGGTTTTTTTTGTTGGTTTTTTTTTTTTTTGTTTTTGGGAGAGTGCATGTGATCAGAACAGGGCCAATCAGCACTGTCCAGACAGAGGTCAGGGGTTCTGCATCCTCTTAGAGCAGAAAGAAAACTCCTATTACAAGCTTTAACCAGTGCTCTGCTGAAGTCACAAGACTACTCTAACTGCTGATGAGAAAAGGTATTTAGCAGTTTATATTTACTGTTGTGAAGGAACATCGGTTACTATTACCACGTTGCATACTGGGATAGTCCCAAAAGCTCATACGACCATCCTAGAGATAGGTGGTCATGGGATGACGGTGAGTGTAGATCCATGTGGGGCACCGGTCTGAGCACTGTGGAGCACCTGTCACTTTATAATGGAGTTCACAATCAAGGAATGAGCACCCTTGCACGTTATTTCACATACTGGGACTATTACTAGTATAACATATGTTTATTGTTTATCACTATTATTTACCTATTGTTACTAAGTATATGGGCAGCACAGTGGCTAAGTGGTTAGCACTTCCGCCTGGCAGTATTAGGGTCGTCGTTTCAAATCCCAACCACGTCACCACCTGCCTGGAGTTTGTATGTTCTCCCTGTGACTGCGTGGGTTTTTTCCAGGTACTCCAGTTTCCTCCCACACTCCAAAGACATGCTGCCGGTAGGTGAATTGGATCCTGTCTAAATTGTCCCTAGTATGTGTATGTATGAATGTAAGTTAGGGACCTTAGATTGTACACCCCTTGAGGGTTAGGGACTGATGTGAATGTACAATATATATGTAAAGTGCTGTGTAAATTGATGGCGCTATATAGTACCTGAAATAAATATTGTTTGCATTGTTTGCCCTAGTGCGGTCTATGTGGTATTTTTTCTAAATTCTGTAAAAAAAGAGTAGACTGGAAATCGCTACGTGAAGAGCAGGGAAACGTGTATAAAGTCAAAGCTTGCAAAGAAAAGGTCCGCTGTTATTTATTTATTTCAGGTACTTATATAGCGCCATCAATTTACACAGCACTTTACATATATATTGTACATTCACATCAGTCCCTAACCCTCAAGGGGTGTACAATCTAAGGTCCCTAACTCACATTCATACATACACATACTAGGGACAATTTAGACAGGAGCCAATTAACCTACCAGCATGTCTTTGGAGTGTGGGAGGAAACCGGAGTACCCGGAGGAAACCCACGCAGGCACAGGGAGAACATGCAAACTCCAGGCAGGTGGTGTCATGGCTGGGATACGAACCAACAACCCGAGTACTGCCGGGCGGAAGTGCTAACCATTTAGCCACTGTGCTGCGCTGTTGAATGATACTCGCGTAAGATGGTCTTTGCTTGTTACTTGGATTTGTTATAGTGGGTCGGGCTGATCTCCGTTGTTTGGGTCTCCTTCTTTCAATTACAGTATTCTCCTGAATGGTAAATAATGGGTGGAGGGGTAATGAATACCCTCGTATCTTCAGTATACATTCTAATTTTCTTCTTCTACCGTTTTAGATCCCAAACCAAAATGTCCGAAGCTAAAAAAGACTTGTAAAAAGAAACCAGCGAAGAGGCTTGCAGATGCAGAAGAAGCGAAAACATCTCGGTGTGGAGAATGAGAGCAATGTAGGCATTTCTTCATCTTGGTGACAACGCTGTTATACAGTTATTATTCTTTGCGATTTTTTTTTTTTATTTTTTTTTTTGTTTCATAATTTCAGGATTGTTTCCAGCCAAATGGCTAAATACCCTTTTGAAATATATAAATGTGTACCCTCTCTACTGACAAAGGATTTGTAAGCTCTGTCAGCCGTTCTTGCGATACTCACACCTCATCTAGTCAGTAAGAACACTTATTCCCTGAGATAGCATTACTACTTGATGGGAAGTTCTGTGCTATCGGACTATTGTGGTGATGCTGGTTCACTATATGGTGAGGAGGCTGGAGGTGGAAATGGGGCATTGGAAACTGATTGGCAGTAGTAGCTATATTACCTGCTTAACCACGTCCCGTCCGGCCCATGTACATAAACAGCCGGACAGGAGCGGGCTGCCGCCTGCATTTGAAGTCTATGCCCGCTCCCTGGGAGCGCATGGCACTGCGATCCGGTGCTCGCTGTCTCCTCCGGACACAGCGGAACACCGATCACTGTACAGGATCTCTGTGAGGTCCCGATCATGTGATCACTGATTGGCCAATCAGTGATCACATGAATGGTAGTAAGCAAGATGTCACTTCTGACATCATTGCTTACTACTTGTGAAATCTGTGAATGATCACAGAGATCACATGGTACAAGGCTGTTGTGAATTCACAACAGCCTTGTACCATGTGACAAGCTGTGACCAATCACAGCTCACACAGTATTTCTCAATGGCTGCAGGAATGCCGACAAAGGACAAATTTCATCCTCCCTCCTGTGTTTGTTTTGTTTGTTTTTTTTGTTTGTTTTTTTTTTTTCCCCCCCCTCTCCTTACCTTTTTTTTATAGTGTTGTGTACATTTCACATACTCATCTGGTTAACGAATCCAGTGGTAGTAAAGGCTCCAGGTTTTTACCTTCATGCAATTTATGCATGAAGTTAAAGAATTAAAAAAAAAAAAAAACTTACGAGCAGCAGCCCCCTCTCAATCCAGCGTTGTGCACAAGAGCATCGGCACAGGTAGTACAGTATCACTGTATTGCTAGGGTGACAGTATGTAAAAAAAATAAATAATCTAAAAAAATAAAATGTAAAAATTTTTTTTTTTTGAAAAATTATCATTTTTGGTTATAAACTAATTTGGGTTATTTATTTATTTATTTTTACTAAAAAGATAAGTGAATATAATTTGGTCAAGATTTATGAAGAAAGATTGTTTGCAAAATTTTTATAAGAAAAATACTATTTTTTCAAAAATTTTTGGACTCTTCATTTATATAGCAAAAGAAATAAAAATCCCAGTGGTGAATAAATACCACCAAAATAAAGTTTTATCTGTCTCAAAAAATCCTGAAAAATTCATATGGGTGCAGTGTAGCATGACCGTGCAATTGTCATTCAAAGTGTGATAGCGCTGAAAGCTGAAAATTGCCCTGGGCAGGAAGGGGGTAAAAGTGCCCGGACTTGAAGTGGTTAAAGAGAAATTTCATCCTCCCTCCTGTGTTTGTTTTTTTGTTTTTTTTTTGTTTTTTTTTTTCCCCCCCCCCCCCCCCCCCTTACCTTTACCTTTTTTTTATAGTGTTGTGTACATTTCACATACTCATCTGGTTAACGAACCCAGTGGTAAAGTGGTTGTAAAGGCTCCGGGTCTTTACCTTCATGCAATTTATGCATGAAGTTAAAAAAAGAATTAAAAAAAACACCTACGAGCAGCAGCCCCCTCTCAATCCAGCGTTGTGCACAAGAGCATCGGCTCCCCCAGGTCTCTCCCTCATTGGCTGAGACAGCAGCGGGAGCCATTGGATCCCGCTACTGTCAATCACAGCCAATGAGGAAAGAGCCAGGCTCTGTATGTGAACGGTCACACAGAGCAGTGGATCGGGAGCAAGCCTGCTCCTGTGCCCCCATATGAAGCTGCTTGCTAAGGGGGCACTTGGCGGGAGGAAGAGGATCGGATCGCTGGCGGGAGACCTGAGAGAGAAGTATCAGGGCTGCTCTGTGCAAAACCATTACACAGAGCAGGTAAGTATGACTTGTTTGTTATTTTTATTTATTTTAAATGTGCCATTAATATTATTATTATACAGTATTTATAAAGCGCCAATGGTTCGCTCAGCGCTGCACATTACGAAGGGGACAGAACATGTGACAGAGCAATACCAATACAATGCAAAACTTGAGGGGATCCACTTTAATCTCCTGTGGTCTGCCGTAGCGCCGACACAAGCCGGGTCTGGTGCGGCCAACCTAGTAGAAACTGATGGAGGGGAGCAGGGCCGCCTGCACTCAGTTAAAAAAACAAAAAACAAAGAAACAACCTAAACCGAGAATAAAGAACATTTTTTTTTTTTATTTGCAGGGAGGAGGGCCTGGTTACCAGGGGTGAAGGTTCACTTTACAGTATGCCTCTAGCAATTTTTTTTTTTTTGATAGGGTAAGAATTGCTATCAGGGTTTTATTGCTGTGTTTTTTCTTACTGGGGCAATATATAAATATATAATACATTATCTCGCCAAATTATTATGGTGATCTATCTCGGTACTATTTCCAAAATCTCAGACTAAGCGCTTCTACTGCCAGCCAGCCCTGTATGAAGAATGTGTGTGCGCATTGCTTGGATAAAGGCTGGGGGAGTAGTAGTGGTTAGTGCAGGATATTATGGGCTGTGTAGGATATTATGGGCTTTTTCCACTGTTACCCAGGCCTATTGCTGTAAGCTCTACATCTGCGCTTTGATGCAACGGCTACAGGTATGAACAAACCTTGGTTCATGTTCATCCTATCCATTCCCAGTTTTTAGGGCAAATGCACCCTAGAATGGACAGCAGTACAGTGCGCTGTGATCAAACGCAGCACGTCTTCATTTTATCACAGCGCACTGCAGCGCAGCTCGGGGCCACATTGCAGTGTGAATGAGACAGAAAAGAATTGTTTTCTTCGTGTCCTTGTGATGACAGGCCTTGTAAAATGCCTCTCACTGGCGTTGTGTGTGAATTAGCCCTTAGATTCAAAATTGCTTTGCAAAAATACATTGAAAACACAGGTTGATGCATGACATCGCTCCTACTATTTGAAAATTCACCTCTACATGCAAGCGTAAAATTAAATGGACCCTTAGTAATTGGAATGTGTTTCTTTTTTTTTTTTTTTGTTTTTCCCCTTTAGATTCCGGAAGCCATCGACTTGTTTAACTTTGCAAGTACATTGGAGTTTATGGAAAAGACGTACAATGCAATTACGCCAGTGTCTCCCCTTCCCCGCTTTATGGATGAAAGTCTAGATTTTTGAAGACTTGTAGTAAGTCTGTGTCTGTATGTGTACATATATGTATTGGTGTGTGTGTGGTGTGTGTAAATGTATGTGTAAATATGTATGTATGTATGTGTTATATGTGTGTGTATATATGTATGTATATTGTGTGTGTGTAAATATATATATGTGGGGATTTATTTTATTTGGGCACCCCAGCTAAAAATTTTTATAAAAAAAAATGTGCATAAAGAAGCCAAGGAAAGATGGAAAAATCTCCAAAAGGCATCAAATTACAGATTAGACATTTTTATAATATTGTTAACAAAATTAGATTTTTTTCCATTTTTACACTTTCAAAAAATAACAGAAAAAAAAAAAATGCGTCTGCAATTTTTGGCACCCTGCAGAGTTAATATCTTGTATTGCCCCTTTGGCAAGTATCACAGCTTGTAAACGCTTTTTGTAGCCAGCCAAGAGTCTTTCAATTCTTGTTTGAGGTATCTTTGCCCATTCTTCCCTTACATGCTAAAGTCTTCCAGTTCTTTGAGATTTTTTGGGCTGTCTGTCACGCACTGCTCTTTTAAGGTCTATCCATAGATTTTCAATTATGTTGAGGTCAGGAGAATGTGAAGGCCATGGCAAAACCTTCAGTTTACGCCTCTTGATGTAATCCCCGTGGATTTCGAGGTGTTCATTTAGGACCATTATCCATTTGTAGAAGCCATCCTCTCTTTAACTTCAGCTTTTTCACAGATGGCAGCAAGTTACCATGCAACATTTTCTGAAATTTTTATTGAATCTTTTTTTCCTTCTATTTTGTGAGATTTCCCTGTGCCACTGGCTGCAACACAACCCCAAAGCATGATTGATCCAACCCCATGCTTAACAGTTGGACAGAGGTTTTATTTCATTAAATTCCTGTGCCCCTTCTTCTCCAAACGTTACCTTTGCTCATTTTTTTTTTTTTTTCAATTTTAACCTCAGGGTCCACAGAACTTGTTTCCAAAATGCATCAGCTTGTTATATATGTTCATTTGCAAAGTTCAAACGATGATTTTTGTGGTGAGGACGTAGAAGAGGGGTTTTCTTCTGATGGACTCTTCCATTTTTTTTTATTTGTACAAGTTCTTTTTTATAGTGGAATAGTGTACCATTTTCCAGTGTCTGCCAGATCTTTCTGGAGGGATCGTGCAGTCAAACGTTGGGTTTTGAATTTTTTTTTTCTCACAATCCTGCGAGCTATTTGTCTGATATTTTTCTTGGTCTTTTCCAGATCTTGCTTTAACTTCCACTGTTCCTGATGACTGCCATTTCTTAATTACATTCTGAAAAGAGGATATTGACACATCTGAAAACGCTTTGCTATCTTCTTATAGCCTTTCTCCAGCTTTGTGAGCGGCAACTATTTTCAGTTTCACATTTTTCTAGACAACTGCTTAGAAGAACCCATGGTGCTGATTGTTGGGGGCAAGGTTTTGGTATAGTCTGGGCATTTAAAACGCTTTGAGATTGACACACCTGGTCTTCCCAGACGAGGGTTGAGAACAATCCATGACACTGGCAGGTCTTGAGCTTGGCAAAGGGGGCAGTGTGCTATAAATTCTGCAGGGTGCCCAAACTTTTGCAGACGCATTTTTTTTTTTTCTGTTATTTTGAAAGTGTAAATGATGGAAATAAAATCTAACTTTTGTTGACATATTATAAGAATGTCTAATCTGTAATTTGATTTTTTGGAGTTACTTTTTTCCATCTTTCCTTGCTTTTTTATGCACATTAATACAAATTTTTAGACTGGGGTGCCCAAACTTTCGATCCCCACTGTATATGTGGTGTCTTATGTATTATATATATATATGTGTTTTATGTATATATATATATATTATATATGAAGTGTATGTATGTATGTATATATATATATATATATTTATTTTGTGTGTGTGTGTGTGTGTGTGTGTGTGTGTGTGTGTGTGCGTATATATATATATGTGTGTGTATATGTATATATATGTGTGTGTATATTATATATATGTGTGTGTATGTATGTATGTATGTGTGTATGTATGTATTATATTAGTTTTTGATTTTTTTTTGTGATCGCATCAGTTTAATCTAAGTGGAAACTTGTTTTCATCATTGGTTTACATGCACATGGAGGACTGCGAATATTTGTGGTGATGAAGTGCACCTTAGGTTCAAGCAATAGGAAGTCCACTGGTTTTTTTTTACTCCCCCCATGTCCTGCCTCTATTGGTTCAGAAACTGTCATTAATATCATTGATATTTGTGAAAATTAATGTTAATTTTTTTTTTTTTTTTTCAATGGGAAATATACTGGAGCCGTGGCGGAAATGGAAATAATTTTAACTGGCTTTCCTTTTGTAACTTACACTGCCATATTGCTGATCTTTACCTGTCAATAAATTTTGAATCAACAGACTGAATGTAGTATGATCCCGTTAGAAACTTAAATGGGTCTCATTTATAACTGATCTAAAGCATCAATGTGCATTCATTAGGAGACAATGTCAGAAGGATCTTTGGGGAATGCTCACAAGGTGAGTATAAGGCCTCCTGCACACATGACATAAACAACGCCGCCTTTACAAGTGTTTGACTTTGACTAAATGCACTTCTATGTTTAGCTTATGTGGCCATCCATGTTAGAGGAGCATTTAGAGCAGTGGTTCTCAACCTTCCTAATGCCGTGACCCTTTTAATACAGTTCCTCATGTTGTGGTGACCCCCAACCATAAAATTATTTACCCAGTAATTATAATTCATGAGTGTCGTTTTTACCTCCAATACTGCTGCTTTCAGCACAGTAGCTGCTTTCAACACAGTAGCTGCTTTCTACACAGTAGCTGCTCTTTACACATTGGAAATTTCTGATGGTCTTAGGGGACCCCTGTGAAAGGACGTTTCGACCCCCAGTTGAGAACCACTGGTTTAGAGGCTGAAAAAGATCTCACCCACCAGCGCTTTCAGGAGAGGAGCTTTTGAGCAGAAATAATGCTGAACACGCCTAAATGTTTAGTGTTTGAACTGTTATTCATACCAATGGCCAGAATAATGAATATTCTGGTCAGTTGAATCAATTAATGCCCAAATGCTTTAGGTGCGTTGTTATAAGCTGCTTTTGCCCTACCAGGAGCAAAGGAGCCCAGGGCAGGAAAGAAAAAAGCGTCTGTGTGTGCTTAAGGCCTAACAAGGTCTGAGGCTGCAGAGACACTTTGCTGCATGAACAAGGTGACGGTGTCCCTTTCATACTATACTCGTGAGCGAACAAAAAATGGATTGGTAAGTGTGTCTTGTGGAAAAATTATATGCTGTCCATTTAGATCCTCACCAGGACACTGTGCAGATTGTCAATTTACCGGCATTGAATGCAGACTTTGTGATACTCGCATATCACACAGCGATTTAGTCCTTATAAACCATGACCAGTTATCTGCTCTTCATTGTTGGTCTTCTTGGTTTCTGTCCAGTGTTTCCTGCAGCCTCTCTCTTTCCCTTTCCCACGTAATCATTATATTGTTAGGCTCCTGGAAGCTCTGCCATCAATATGATTTTAGTGGTTGTCAGATGTGGAGAGCTGTATAAACACAGATGAAAGAGATACAGGCACAAATAAGTGAAACACTCCTATGGACATAACGTATTCTAACGTTGATTGCAGCAGTCTCCTTTCTTTGGATTCTGTCTACAAAGCCATTTTAGCGTGTCCGTGTATTGCAACGCCTGATAACAAATGATACATAAGGGAAGCTCAATACATTTCAATAACATTCCAGTAAACGCAGTAGATCACAACACGCAGATGTAAACTACATTGCGATGCTGCGGTGTAAAAAAGTGCTGCAAAGACATTATAGTCTGAATTGTGGTTCATCAACAGCCCATGCAAAGTGATTGGGCTACCTTTTACCTCCACGTGAGCGGTAACACACCACAGTGCAGTGAAGTAGACTGAATACTGTATTGTGTCTGTGCAGCAGCTATTTCCCAATAGATATCAGTGGGGCTGCCTGCACAGGGATGCACCCTTGGAACACCTGTGCTGGTATATATGGCCATGCACAGGTTTATGATCTAGGCCTTATTGTGCATCGAACTTGCAGAAAGTGCTTTTTATATTAATCATTCTTACCTTTTTTAAAACCCATTTTTTATTTCAATCTTTTCAGTGCCGAAGAGGGCATAGATGAACTTGAGCTGGTTGCAGAGATTCATATTGGGGATGCCGGTGCATACTCCAATGTCCCGCCAAGGATCTTCAGAAGAGCAAGCCCCTGGAGATTTCAAAAATCAGGTATCTTTTTATGGCACAATATAACTAGTGAATAGTCCAATATACCCACTTATATATATTTTGTCACAGCCCAGTGTTAGAGAAATGCTTCCAAGCCAAATTTGAGCTTTCCAAAAGTCTGTATTTGCATTGAAACTTTGAAGGATTAAGAGCTTGCTCACACTGTCCCGAACACAATGGAGCAATAGTTTGCACAAGAAAATGGCTCAATGCCTTGCTCAGTTTAACCCTTTTACTGCTACTGATGTGTCCCACATGTCAGGGCATTAAAAGCGTTAAAAATAGTTATATGGGTAATTCTTGGCTGTAATGTAAGTGTTCTTTTTTTGAAAGGCTGGAATATGCCCCCTGTGTAGCCCTGGACCGGGGCAAATTTCTGGAGATGGCTAGTGGAGGGAGATCAGAGAAACTATCATCACCGATTGAACCCTCTCCATGGAAAGAACCCATAATCCCTTAGTTCTGAGTGCTTTTGGGTTCAGTGCTATCAAACCCTAGCAGTTCAGGCCAGGTAGACAAGTAGATCATGTACATTTATTGCTTGAATACCTGCTTGGATAGACACCAGGGGAGACATCAGATGTCTAATAGACCCCAAGTGTCTCATTGTCAAGGACCTGTCACCCCGCCCCTCATTGTCAGCCCCATTTGACGGCAATAGAGGGGAAAAATAGTTTTTAAAAAAATAATTTTCATTTTTTTTTCTTCTCTTCTAGTGTGCCTAAGTACCTCAGGGCTGGAGTTCACACAAGGACAATCAACAGTCCACCAAGAGACAGCACCTAGGCCTTCAAGATTTGAGTTCTTTGGAGCCCCTATGTCTCATATCAATGTAAACCCATGTACCCCCAGAAAATTGAATAGAACTCAAATGAGCTCAGACTGTCATTTAGAACAGAATGCATATGGAACTTTCCAAAAACCTGCAGACAGAACTTCCCTACATGTGAATGCTTCAGTAGCTCCCATGCTCCCTGGAATTCACTGGACAACTAAAGGTCCGCTGGATGCCTTCTCTGCAAAAAGGATACAAAATGGCACATGCACGGAGAGGACTAGTCTAATACATGGCAATACATTAGTTAAAAATACACCTAATGCATTAGAGTCATTGGGTCTTGCTTTGGGAAATGGGACTGGGGTAACAGGTGGGCAGCAAAGACCTCTTGGAGGAGAGAGCTCCACGGTAAACAGCCAGCATACTCAATCTCATGGCTCTTTAGAAAAAGATAGTGGCTCTTCATCCTCTTCCTCCTCCTCCCAGAACCCTATGCTGTCTGCAGGTGGCAGTGGGGTACAGTCAAGCCAATCCCAGGATTTAGATATTTATGACCCTTTTCACCCCACAGATGAGGAGAATGTGAATGGAGACTATATTTATGAAGACTCCCCAGAGAAGGAAACCGATGACCAAGAAGATCAAAAGTATGACCCATTTGAACCCACTGGTTCCAACCCAAGTTCCTCTGAACGCAGCCCTTCACCATATGAAGATGATGATGATGATGATGAAGATGATGAAATTGGGAGTGAGACTCACCCAGAAGGTCGAATCTCTGAAGCGTTAGCTGGTATTTATGATGAAAACAGCTTGAGCCAAGACATTCCGGGCGCTGAGAAAACAAAGGAAGGTTTTAAATCTGTAGAATCTGATAAAGGCCTACCAAATGATGAGCATGAGAGAAGTACTGAAGTGGAAAGCAACAAAGCTGAGCAAAAGAGTTCTAAGGAACGTTCGGACTCTGTTTCAAAGGATGTTTCAAAGCTAGATTTTGAACCCTACAGTCCTAGCTCCAGTATAGACATGGACACACCAGATGAGGGGGAGGCAGATGAGGAGTCGCAAGAAGTACCAGAGGAGAAAAGTATTATAGAACCACCAGTTGCTGATTCAACACTTGAAGAAACAAGTATGGCAGAAGCATCAGCAGAGCCTATAAGGCGTGTATTCACAGTGGATGCTGGTATGGACTTTAATAGGAAAACTGACTTTACATCTGAAGCCGAATCTAAGCCCAAGGTTGAAATAAAGGTTTCTCTGGAGTCACTTGCCAAGCCTGATATGAAGTCATATTTACGGTTAGAGAAAATTGCCAAGCTTGGAAGTGAGTCAAGATCACGGCATAAACGAAAGCATTCATCTGAAAGGAGAGATCATGATGACGATTCAGATCGGAAATATGATTCTGAAATTGAAGAAGGGGAGATTGTACAGCCAGATGAAGATTGTTTTAGCCCTGTGCCTATATTCCGGAGCCGATGTCGAGTCCTGGACAGACCACTTAGAATGGTTGAAGGTGATGACTTCCTTTCTCTGCATGCAGATTCAGATGAAGAAGGAACTTTACAAATTGACTTTGGAGACAATCCGATGGATAACAGATGGAAGGGACTGGATTTGAGACGAAAGATTACAAATCAACGTAGAGAGAGGTATCGGAGGAAATCAGAGACTCCACCAAAATCCAAAAAACGCTCCAAATCTCGCTCTCCATCTAGCTCTCATAGTCGTAAGAAGTCCAAACGTGAAAGAAAAAGATCCAGGGAAAGGAAGAGGTCCAAGGAGCCACGAACAACAACAACAACAACAACAACAACTACTTCCTGGTCTATTTCAAAAAAATCTAAAGATAGCAAAGACCGCAAGCGTTCTAGGTCACGGTCTTTTAAGGGTAGTAAGGTTTCTCGTTCACGGTCTAGAGAACGCAGACGGTCACGTTCCTGGTCACCTTCCATTAGCACTAGCTTATCTGCCGTAGGATCTTCTCGTCCATCAGCTGAAAGGAGAAAAACTTGCAGATCAAAATCGAAAGAGAAGAGGCGCCGTTGGTCTCGCTCTGTCAGTATGGAGCGGTCCCGAAAAGATAAACATAAGGACAAGCATCGGGTAGATGGAAGAAAAAGAAGAAAAGATCACGTTCAAGGTCCAGAGAAAGAGATAGAGATAGAAGATCTTCCCGGCACTCAAATGATAGGAGAGAAAAGGAGAAGACGAGGCCCAGGCACACTTTAGATGAACCCAAGGTTGAAAAACCCTCCACTCTTGGAGAGGAGGCGACGTGATAGTCGCTCAGTGGTACCTCCCTCAATACAAGAGCTGAATAATGCAGATCTTTTTACAATAAAGAGAACGATTACTGTGAACCCAGAAGAGAAACTAGATCGTGAAGAATTGCTTCGTACTCCTGAACTTCATGGGAAGAGAGAGGTTCTGTATGATTCAGAAAGGACTGAGCTTCGAAACCTATTCTGACCGTGAAACTGTCGATGACAGGGATGGAAAATCTAACAGGGTTTTTGAAAGGCATTCTGTCAAGACGGATTCCAGCAAGAGAAGGATGCCCATGGACTTTACAACCAAGCGGGTAGAAGAAGAAAGAGAAAGCCGACAGAGAGTTTCCAAAGATAGAGATAGAGATAGAAAAAGAGCTTACCCAGATGACAGTCGGGACCCGGTATAAAAAACGTTTCAAAGAAAGTTCTGATCCAGAACCTGAGCCACTGAAGTTAGACCGAGACAAAATTCGTTCTGACAAGGATAAAACTCCAAAGAAACTTAAAACAAGTCATAAAGACAGCAAAGGAAGCTCAACTAGGAAAGTAAAACTTCAGTCTAAAGTGGCTGTGTTGATCCGAGAAGGTGTAAGCAGCACCACAACTGTCAAAGAAGCTGGCTCTATTGGAGTCAAGTTCAGCAGAGACCGAGAAAGCCGATCCCCATTCCTAAAATCTGATGAAAAGATAACTGATATTAAAAGTGGTCGACCTAAACTTGAAACGGATGATGTCAAAGAACCTCTTCTAAGGCCTAAAAAAATTAAAGGTTTAAAAACAAAAACTGGTGTTAAGAAAGTAAAGCCGGTTGGTGCTACAGGGAATCTGGTTAAACCTAAAGGAACTCTAGAAAAGAAGAAGAAGAAACTGAAGACAAAAGCCTCATTAAAGAAGTCCAAAGCAGATAGCTGCAGTCAGGAGATATTAAGCCCCATTGAACCCAAAGAAGAACCGATATGGTCTGACACCGAGAAAACTGAGATTAAAGTGAAACCTCCAAGTCCTCCTAAGCCAGCCAATGAACAAGAGCTTACCCCTGATTCCCAGACTGTAGACAGTAGCTGCAAGACTCCGGATGTTTCATTCTTGCCAGAGGACCTCCCTTTAGACCAAGACAGAATTACTGATTTAGTGGTTGACAGTATTTCTGAGGCCAAGGAAGAGGCACCCCGTCAGCCACCTCCTCCCCCCACCACCCCCAGCACCGATACCATGGAACCTCCAGTCAGGCGTGGATTGCACCACAAGTGGGGTCTTAGCATGTAAGTGGACTTTTCCTTTTTTTTTTTTTTTTTTAAATGTCTAGAAATATATTTTTATTTTGCGGGTTAATATTTTATTTAAAATGGTCAGTCCACATAGAAATATTGAGGAATAAGTCCGCCCTAGGCTTTCTATATGGCAGTGGTCTCCAAACTGCGGCCCAGGGACTGGATACGGCCCTTTGCTTGCTGTTATCTGGCCCTTGGGGCACTTTTTTTTTAATTTACTGACACCAACATGGGACATAATTCCTCCCACTGACACCAGTGATAGGGCGCTATTTCTCAAACTGACACTAACAATGGGGCACTATTCCTCCCACTGACACCAATGATGGGGCACTATTCCTCCCACTGACACCAATGATGGGGCACTATTCCTCCCACTGACACCAATGATGGGGCACTATTCCTCCCACTGACACCAATGATGGGCACTACCATTCCTCCCACTGACACCAAATGATGGGGCACTATTCCTCCCACTAATACCAATGATGGGACACTATTCCTCCCACTAATACCAACGATGGGACACTATTCCTCCCACTGATACCAACGATGGGACACTATTCCTCCCACTGATACCAATGATGGGGCACTATTCCTCCCACTGACACCAATGATGGGGCACTATTCCTCCCACTGATACCAATGATGGGGCACTATTCCTCCCACTGATACCAATGATGGGGCACTATTCCTCCCACTGATACCAATGATGGGGCACTATTCCTCCACTGATGATACCAATGATGGGACACTATTCCTCCCACTAAATACCAATGATGGGGCACATATTCCTCCCACTGACACCAATGATGGGCACTATTCCTCCACTGATACCAATGATGGGGCACTATTCCTCCCACTGATACCAATGATGGGGCACTATTCCTCCCACTGACACCAATGATGGGGCACTATTCCTCCCACTGACACCAGTGATGGGGCACTATTTCTCCCACTGACACCAGTGATGGGGCGCTATTCCTCCCACTGACACCAGTGATGGGGCGCTAATCCTCCCACTGACACCAGTGATGGGGCGTGATCCCACTGACACCAGTGATGGGGGCTATTTCTCAAACTGACACTAACAATGGGGCACTATTCCTCCACTGATACCAAAGATGAGATATTATTTATTCACTGACGTGGACGTTTTCTACCCCCACTTACTACATTCGGCCCTCCCCCCTTAGCTTTGAAGCACAGTAAAGTGACCCTTTGTTTGGAGACCCCTGTTATATGGGATACTTCAACATCAAGAAGTCTCTGGTACAGTTCTTGTCAACTTGGGACATCTGTGTATTCTTCCCCCCTTTGCTTGTTACTGTTGTATTTTTTATAAAATACACATCCAGATAATGGCCACAAGAGGAGCAGGAGGTGTGCACCCAAAGTACTTCTCAAGCACAGGTATCTCACAAATAGAGTTCCTAAATCTAATATATGAAAATGAAAAGTGGTTTAGTTGTGTTCTGTCTACCAGAACCTGAAATATTAACTTTAAGTGAACTGACCTTTATAGTGTTTGAAATAGAAATGGAAGACAAAGCATTTGTGTAAAGATATAAAAAAACATTGTAAATACATTTTCCCCCTGTTTTAGAAGTGTTGGGCATGACCTCTAAGTTCCTTATGCAGCTGAGAACAGATAGCTAGGGAAGGAGAAACAGCAGTGCACTGAGCTTCCCAGTGAACAGCTGTGTGGGGGGGGGGGGGGGGGGGGGGGGGGGGGGGGGGGGGGGGGGGCGGGGGCAGACGTCTGATTATTGAAGGAGAGCAGGCTGAGTTCTCAGCACGGGTAGAGAACTGACCACGCTGTGCTCTCCTGATCATTGAAGGAGCGCAGGCTAAGTTCCCAGCACGGGTAGAGAACTGACCACGCTGTGCTCTCCTGCCTAGTGTGGTCAGTTTTTAATAGGAAAGCAGAGGAACTGGCAGGAACACCAGGGATTTCACACAAAGGAAACGATACAAAGAGAACAGGATACTTTTCATACAAGTACATGGTACAGCAGGCGCAGATCAGGAATATGAAATGTTGGGTTTACATACTTTTTAAATTATTGTAATGATGTGGCCAGTCACTCCATGGTTGATGGTAATGCTCTTTCTGAAACACGGCTGTTTGCTGAGTACCCTTTTTTTGAATGCAAGCAGTGTAACTATCTGAATTTAAAGGATAGGTTCACCTCTTACCGGACAATAATAAATGCACAATTTTTGCAGGTATAAAAATGTGAATTTACTATTATTATTATTATACAGGATTCATATATTATTATATTATTATTATTATATACAGGATTTTATAAATTATTATTATACAGGATTTCATATATTATTATTATTATTATTATTATTATTATACAGGATTCATATATTATTATTATTATTATACAGGATTTATAAATTATTATTATACAGGATTTATATGGCGCCAACAGTTTGCTCAGCACTTTACAATATAACGGGAGACAATACAGCAACAATACAGTTCAATACAAGAGGGATAGGAGGGCCCTGATCCTGGGAGCTTACAATCTAGGAGGGAATTTTTTGTTTCAGGAGCCTGGAAAGCATAGCACCAGCGATCAGCAGATCGATGGTCCCATGCAGGTCTCCTGCAGACTGTCAGTGTAATCTTTCTGGCCGTACATCATACAGGCAGGCAGTTTTACACTGAGAAAAAAAAAAATCAATGAACCAACACAGCGCTCAACACTGCCGTGGTAGTTCATTGAGAACTACAAGCCGACAGCCACAAAGGCTGTCGGGACTTGTAGTTTCCCATTCACAGGACTCTGTGAATGAATGACATGGCTGGGCTGGTAGAGTCCTGTACTGCTGGGCTGTTTTTAAAATTGTGACAGCTAGCGGGGGGAGAAGATCCCCTGTAGCTGTCGCAATGGTGGATCGGGGGGTGCAGCAGTCCTACAGTAACATGTTTACACCCTAAATATGGGTATAACATAACATATTACAAAAGTTAAACTTATCCTTGAACATAGTGTCACCTTCTTGTAGTCCTACTGCACATTCTGTGCAACAGAGCGGGGGAGGGAGGAGTATGTGCAACAGAGCGGGGGGAGGGAGGAGTATCCAATGGATCTTCCAGGAGCCAGGAGTGCAAGAAGTACGCTGATAGGGAGGAGAGAGCAGAGAGTTTAGCTCTTCACTCCTTTTGCACACTGGACACTTTGGCCATTTCTCCTAGACACCTATTCTCCTGGCAGAAAAACCGCTTGGTGCTTGGAAATGTGTGTAACGTGTTTAGGCGCGTCAAGTGCTTGGTCTTTCATTAATTTCATTGGCCAGAATAATAAGGCACCATGCACACGAACGGTAAAAATACGTTTCCCCTAGAGGAGTTTAGTGTTCTGCCTGTTGAAACAGTTAATGTTATCTTATGTGTCCATAAGGCACGGGTGTCAAACTGGCGGCCCTCCAGTTATTGCCAAACTACAAGTCCCATGAGGCATTGCAAGATTGACAGTTACAAGCATGACTCCCAAAGGCAGAGGCATGATGGGACTTGTAGTTTTGCAAAAGCTGGAGGGCCGCCATTTTGACATCTGTGGTCTAGAGGTTTTTTTTTTAAGCTCTGAATTTTGAGGCAGAAAAAAAAACCCTTCTGTTTTGCGTTTTTGGGAGGATTTTTCTGGCAGAAAAAAAAAAAAAAGCTAAACACTAGTACAAAAACCCTACATTTTTTTTTTTTTTAAGCTTTTGTGCATTATTAACTTATTACTATTATTATACAGGATTTATATAGTGCCAACAGTTTGCTCAGCACTTTACAATGTGAGGGCAAACAGTACAGTTACAATACAACTGAATACAGGAGGAATCATAGGGCCCTGCTCGTGCATGGAACCTCATTTATTCTTGCCATTGAAATTAATGCTCAAATGCTAAACGCATCTAGCATTAACGTGAATTTTTTTCTGCCAGTTTGACACCTGTGGTCTAGAGGGGTTTTTCAAGCTCTGAATTTAGAGAGAGAAAAAAAAACCCTTCAGTTTTGCTGGCAGAAAAAATGTTAAACACTAGTACAAAAACCCCCAAAAAATAAAAAAAATTTTCCTGCCAAAATCAGTCGTTTTTTTTTTTTTTTTTTTGGAGTTTTTGTGCATTTAATTTTATTATTATTATACAGGATTTATATACTGCCAACAGTTTGCGCAGCGCTTTACAATGTGAGGGCAAACAGTACAGTTACAATACAACTGAATACAGGAGGAATCAGAGGGCCCTGCTCGTGCATGGAACCTCATTTATTCTGGCCATTGAAATTAATTAATGCTCAAATGCTAAACGCATCTAGCATTAACGTGCATTTTTTTTCTGCCAGTTTGACACCTGTGGTCTAGAGGGCTTTTTTCAAGCTCTGATTTAGAGACAGAAAAAAACCCCTTCAGTTTTGCGTTTTTGTGAGGATTTTTCTGGCAGTAAAAAAGTTAAACACTAGTACAAAAACCCCCAAAAAATAGAATTTTTTCCTGCCAAAATCAGTCGTTTTTTTTTTTTTTTTTGTAGTTTTTGTGCATTATTAATTTATTATTATTATAATACAGGATTTATATACTGCCAACAGTTTGCGCAGCGCTTTACAATGTGAGGACAAACAGTACAGTTACAATACAACTGAATACAGGAGGAATCAGAGGGCCCTGCTCGTGCATGGAACCTCATTTATTCTGGCCATTGAAATTAATTAATGCTCAAATGCTAAACGCATCTAGCATTAACGTGAATTATTTTTCTGCCAGTTTGACACCTGTGGTCTAGAGTGGTTTTTCAAGCTCTGAATTTAGAGAGAGAAAAAAAACCCTTCAGTTTTGCTGGCAGAAAAAAAGTTAAACACTAGTACAAAAACCCCCCAAAAATAGATTTTTTTTTTCCTGCCAAAATCAGTTGTTTTTTTTTTTTTTTTGTAGATTTTGTGCATTATTAATTTATTATTAATTTATTATTATAATACAGGATTTATATACTGCCAACAGTTTGCTCAGCACTTTACAATGTGAGGGTAAACAGTACAGTTACAATACAACTGAATACAGGCGGAATCAGAGGGCCCTGCTCGTGCATGGAACCTCATTTATTCTGCCCATTGAAATGAATTAACGCTCAAATACTAAACGCGTCTAGCATTAACGTGAGTTTTTTTCTGCCAAAACACCACTGCTCCTGGACATGCTGGCAGTGGCTTTTTTTGTGCCTCTGAATGCCTGTGTGCATGGACACATAGGCTAAAATGTCAAGGGCGTTAAGAGGCAGAAATAAAACACCAGACGCCCCTAGGGGCAGCGTTAAAAATGTCCAGTGAGGCCTTCTCCTTTCACTGCCTAGCTACATTGTGGGATTAGATGGTGAACCTGTAAGTGAAAGAAAAACTGCAGCAGAGAAAGTTTGGGTCCCTCTGCTGCCAGACATGGTTGTGCTGTGTGGTAGAGCTGTGTAAATTTTATTATTTATTTATTCCAGGTACTTATATAGCGCCGTCAATTTACACAGCGCTTTACATATACAGTTATGTTCAAAATAATAGCCGTCAGACATCACTAACCGGATCAATCACTGCTTTTGGTGGAAATGATATTTCTACATGGCAAATAATTTCCTAGCAGGTGTAGTAGAGTAATAGAAATCCAACAGACCCAACAGTCATGACATGCATGCTGCTGATTCTGTGTCATTGAATCACTCATTGAAAGGGGCGTGTTCAAAATAAAAACCCTGCCTGTCAGTAGATTTTTTTTTAAATCCTGACTTTACTACCACTTTAACTACTTCCAGTCCGGACATTTTTACCCCCTTCCAGTCCAGGTCAATTTTCAGGCTTCAGCGCTATCACACTTTGAATGACAGTTGCGCGGTCATGCAACATTGTACCCATATGAATTTTTTATAATTTTTTTTTGAGACAGATAAAACTTTATTTTGGTGGCATTTATTCACCACTGGGATGTTTATTTTTTTTTTTTGCTATATAAATTAAAAAGTCCAAAAATTTTTGAAAAAGTTCTTATTAAATTTTGCAAATAAATTAATCTTTCTTCATAAATCGTGGCCAAAATGTATCCAGTTATCTTTTTAGTAAAAAAAAAAAAAACCCAAATTAGTTTTATAACCTAAAATTTTAATTTTTCTAATTTTTTTTTACATTTTTATTTTTTTTTTTTTATATTTTGTTTTTGTTTTAACATACTGTCCCCTAACAGTACAGTGTCGCCATAGTGACACTGTACTACTTGGGGGGTGATGATTTATTTATTTTTACATTGATTGCTTTTACACCCATAAAGGCTGTAAAAGCAATCATTTCTCCTTTTCTCTGGCTGCATTCTTGCAGCCATTGAGAAATATTGTGAGAGCTGTGATTGGTCACAGCTTGTTACATGGTACAAGGCTGTTGTGAATAGCCCTGTACCATGTGACCTCTGTGATCATTAACCCTTTGAGGACCAAGGGACGTATTTGTCCCATGTTTTTAATTGCGTGTATCATCTGATTAAGAACTCTTCTTTTTTTTTTTTTTTTTTTTTTTTGGTTTGAGTCAAAATATTAGTTCTTATCAACAAACAACAAATGGATCTAGCTTTTTGCCAATTATTTCATCAAATGGCTTAGTTACAGCAACTGAAGTGTACGAACTTTAAAAACAAAAAAAATTGATTCTTTTGGCGTTCCAAAATCTTACGGGTTAACAGATTTCACTGGTAGTAAGCAATGATGTCAGCAAGTGACATCTTGCTTACTACTATTCATGTGATCACTTTTTGGCCAATCGGTGATCACATGAATCGGGACCTCACACAGAGGTCCTGTACAGCGATCGGTGTTCCGTTGTGTCCTCCGGATCGCGGTGCTGCGCACTCCTAGGGAGCACACACAGGCTGTAAATGTGGGCGCCATTTATGAACGGCAACCCGCTCCTGCACTGCTCCTGTCCGGCCGTTTATGCACATGGGCCGGACGGGAAGTGGTTAAGTGTGAGTCAGGGCCACAGTATATGGTGTTTGCTTATAAAATGAGATTGGGGGGGTTTCCTTGTGTGTAATAGTTGAGATGTAGGGGGATTCTGTTGACCAGTTGTAGTACAGAAATGACCCATTAGAGTTTTATTAATTAACTGTTAATACATGTTGTTTATGTGATTACAGTGACTGCGCTCCTGTTCAAGATGGAGGAGGCAAACATGGCAAGCCGAGCCAAGGCACAGGAGCTAATCCAAGCCACCAATCAGGTGTTTACTCGATAATTGGTCCAATTTCTCTTCGTTTCACAAATACTGTTCAAATCTTTGTGAAGGAAAATTTGTACTTAAAAAAAAAAAAAAATTTAAAATCAAGGTTGCTTTGGCTGACCTTTTCTATAAATACTCGTGCTGATGTAATGGGAACTGAGGTCAAAAGTGGCATCCTACTTTATTCTCCTTAACACCCCGGTCACACCAATTTGAGTTTGAAATTGTGCGACTTCCAGTGAAGTTGCACGATTTCAAAGCCGGATATCAGGTGTGACTTGTCAGGCATCTGCGGCTTGCAAGACAGATGTCTATGCAAGCCGTACCTGAAGTAGTGCATGCACTATCAAAATCTGTGCAACTCCGACAAAGTCGGAACCACACTGATATGAGCACTTTAATTACGTACTATAGGGTTTGACTTGCCATGCGATTTTAACCACTTGAGCTTCTGAGGATTTACCCCCCTTAATGACCAGGCCTCTTTTTGCTACTCGGCGCTGCACTAATTCAACTGATAATTGCGCGGTCATGCGATGCTGCACCCAAACGAAATTTACGTCCTTTTTTTCACACAAATAGAGCTTTCTTTCGGTGTAATTTGATCATCTGTGCGCTTTTTATTTTTCACGCTATAAACAAAAAAAGGCCAAAAATTTTGAAGAAAAACAATATTTTTTTTACTTTCAGCTATAAAAAATATATAGTAAACTCAAAGTTGGTTATAAATGTAGGCCAAAATGTATTCTGCTCCATGTTTTTGGTAAAAAAAAAAATCCCAATAAGTGTATATTGATTGCTTTGTGTGGAAGTTATAGCGTCTACAAACTATGGTATAGATATTGCAATTTACGCCACTTTTCTGCTATACAGCGCTGCGCTAGTTTAACGGACAATTGCGCGGTCATGCAATACGGTACATAAATGAAATTTACATCCTTTTTTTTCCCCCACAAATTGAGCTTTCTTTCGGTGGTATTTGATCGCTCGTGTGTGTGCGGTTTTTATTTTTTGCGCTATAAAAAAAAAGGCTGACAATTTTGAGGAAAAAAAAAACAATATTTTGGACTTTTTGCTATAAAACATGTCCAGTAAAAAAAAAAATGCAAAAATCAAATTTAGTCATAAATTTCTGCCAAAATGCATTCTGCGACATGTCTTTGCTAAAAAAAAACCCAATACGTGTAAATTACTTGGTTTACGTGAAAGTTATAGCGTTTACAAATGGCGGGAAAGATACTGGCATTTTTAATTTTTATTTATACTAATAACGCCGATCAGCGACATATGGCGGCGATCAGTGACTTATGGCGGGACTGCGGCGGACATTTTGACACTGGGGGGGAAACTGACTTGGGGTCACTGACATCCCCAGTGACACCAATACAGTGATCAGTGAAAAAACCCCACTGAAACTGTACTAATGTCACTGGGGAGGAAGGGTTAACATTTTTAGAATTTGCTGTGTAAGGGGAGTGTTTTACTAGGGGGCGGGGGTGTGTACTGGACAGTGGGAGGGAGGGGGGAGCTGATCCAAGGAGAGAAACTCTTCTCTCCCTCTGCAGCTTGTCGGCAAACTGTCACAGAGCAGGGCTGTGTGTAAACAATGCAGCCCTGCTCTGTGTCAGTGATCACCGCTCATCGCGGGGAAAACGGCCGGTAAAAACCGTCTGTGACCCGGCGGTGGAGAGCCGCTGCTGGACCCCGCGGGACAGGTAGGGCGGGCGCCTCGCGCGTCCCCCCTACCTGTTTTGAAGGCAGCCGTTTTAAAACGTGCTTTTGCCTACGAGCGCCGCCCTGCCGCCGTTTATATGCAGTGGCTGGGCGGCAAGTGGTTAAACACACATGGCAAGGCAAGTCACACTCTGTATGACCGGGCTCTAAATGTGCATCTAAGGTCAAGAACAAAAATGTCATATATTGCAGCTTGCCAGTCCTTCGATGTGGTGGCTGCATTAGTTTTTTTTTTTTTTTTTTTTTTTTTTTTTTTTTCCATTTACCTGATGATCATGCCGGTATCACATTTCCTGTCCCACAGTGACATCATTCATTCACTACCTGTAATATTTTTCTATGACTTTCACTAAAGAATGCGTGCACTTTAACCACTTGAGCTCTAGAAGGTTTTACCCCCTTCACTACCTGGCCACTTTTTGTTATTCAGTACTGCGCTACTTTAACTGGCAATTACGCAGTCATGCAACACTGTACCCAAATGCCATTTATATAACTTTGTTCACGAAATACAGCTTTCTTTTGGTGGTATTTAATCACCACAGGGTTTTTTATTTTTTACTATATATAAATGGAAAAAATGTAAATTTTGATGAAAAAAAACAATATTTATTAATTTGGTAATAAAAAAAACAGTTACACAGTAAATAGCGGTCATCAGCAATTTATAGTTGGACTGTGGTAGTGCGGCAAGCAGTCTGACACTAACTGACATTGGCTGTTAGGTACCCTAACTGACTAACAGACTCTGACATCACCATTGACACTAATACAGTGATCAGTGATAAATATTATATACTGTCACTGTGCTAATGACACTGGCTGGGAAGGGGTTAACATCTAGGGGCAATCAAAGGGTTAACTGTGTGCCTAACAATGTGTAATGTGTGCCACTTTTTATTAAATATCTTTGTTCCTTCTATCTACTTTGCAGGAAGAAGAAGCAAAGATTGTTCTTGTACGGAGCCCTGTGGTGTTTGTCAACACAGAGCTCTGGGCTGTGACTGCACGCAGTTGATCAGCAGGTCCTGGCCATGAATCATTAGCCGGGACCAGCTAAGTCCTTCTGTGTTCAATCACAGCAGAGCCGGCGGGCGGGAGGTTGTGTGCGAGCCCTGAACCAATAAGAAAGACATGGCGTACAGGTATTTTACTATGCTGGGCTGTGATTGGACACAGCCGATCAGCGGGTCTCAACCATGACCTCAGTCGGCTGGGGGAGGGGGTTGTGTGTGCGCCTTGAACCTGGAAGTAGGGGCCAGCGTACAGGTATGTGATTGTGCCTGTATGGGCCGCCTGCAATCATTAAAATTACTGCGGGCAGTCAGCAAGTAGTTAAAGCGGAGTTCCACCCAAAAGGGGAAGTTCCGTTTTAAGTCCTAGTCCCCCGTTCCCCATTAAGGATTGGCACCTATGGGGAGCGGGGGGGGGAGCTGGTACCCGAATTGACAGGCACCCGCTCCCACTTCCGCTGCGATCACTTAAGGCGATTGGAAGTTTCTCTGGGACACGTAACAGGTCCCAGAAGACTATGGGGCCATTCACAAAGCGCAACACTTCTCGCGCATGCGCAGTGGGCACCCGGCTGTGAAGCCGCAAGCTGTCACAGCCGGGTGACAACACTGAAGATGCCGGCGCCGGGGAGAGAAGGTGGCCGGTGAAACCATCCATGGTGAGGTCACCGCAGGACCGAGAGACAGGTAAGTGGCTGTATTTTAAAAGTCAGCAGCTACAGTTTTTGTAGTTGCTGACTTTTATTTAGCCCTTGAAAAAATATAGAATGTTTGCTAGTTTTCTTTAACCACTTGCCTACCGGACACTTATACCCCCTTCATGCCCAGTCCAATTTTCAGCTTTCAGCACTGTCGCATTTTGAATGACAATTGCGCTGTCATGCAACATTGTACACATGTGAAATTTTTATAATTTTTTTTCATACAAATAGAGCTTTCTTTTGGTGGTATTTACTTTATTTTTTTTTTTTTTTGCGCTATAAACAAAAAAAGCAAGAAATAAAAAAAAAAAAAAGTTTTTCTTTGTTTCGATTATAAAATTTTGGCAAACAGGTAATTTTTCTCCTTCACTGATGTGCGTTGATGAGGCTGCACTGATGGGCACTGATAGGCAGCACTGATGGGTGGCACTGCTGGGCACTGGTGGGTGGCCGATCACTCCTCTGACAACTGCCGGTTTTTGGCAGTACTTTCCTCACACTGTGACAGCGTGAGGAAAGTGCAGCCAATAACCGGCAATTGCATTTCCCGATCAGTGTGTCATATGACGTCCTCCCAGAACTGACCGGCCATAGTGAAGCCATCATTCGGCTATCTGCGGTCGGCAAGTGGTTAACTACATGCCGCTCAGCCACTGTACATATACGGCGGCAGGGCGGCACTCGCAGGCAAAACCACGTTTTAAAACGTGTGTTTTGTAAACAAATAGGGGGCGCGCGAGGCGCGCTGCCGCCCTATTTGTCCCCGCGGATCACCGCCGCAGATGTCAGTTGCCGGGTCACAGCCGCTCCTTAGCGGCTATGTCCCGGCGATCGGCGGCAAACAGTGACAGACAGCACAGCTGCAGTAGCTGTACTGTCTGTCACTTCCCTGTCAGCTCGTGGATGAGCTGATCGAGAAAGAACAGTTTCTCTTTCTCGATCAGCCTTGTCCCGCCCAGTACACACCCCGCCCCCTAGTAAAACACTCCCCTCACTCCTATAACCCTTCCCTGCAAAATAAAGTTAACCCCTTCCTCCCCAGTGCCATTAGTACAGTGTCAGTTTTTTTTTTTTGCACTGATCACTGTATTAGTGTTTTTGGGGATGTCAGTGACCCCAAGTCAGTACCCCCCAATGTCAGAATGTCCGCCGCAGTCCCGCAGTCCTGCCATAAGTCGCTGATCGCTGCCATAAGTCGCTGATCGCTGCCATAAGTCGCTGATCGCCGCCATTATTAGTATTAAAAAAAAAAAACCCTAAAAATCCCAGTATCTTTCCCGCCATTTGTAAATGCTATAACTTTCACGTAAACCAATTAATTTACACGTATTGGGTTTTTTTTTGTAGCAAAGACATGTCGCAGAATGCATTTTGGCAGAAATTTATGACTAAATTTGATTTTTGCATTTTTTTTTTTTTTTTTTTTACTGGACATGTTTTGTAGCAAAAAGTCCAAAATATTGTTTTTTTTTTTCCTGAAAATTGTCAGCCTTTTTTTTTTTTTATAGCGCAAAAAATAAAAACCGCACAGGCGATCAAATACCACCGAAAGAAAGCTCAATTTGTGGGGAAAAAAAGGATGTAAATTTCATTTATGTACCATATTGCATGACCGCGCAATTGTCCGTTAAACTAGCGCAGCTCTGTATAGCAGAAAAATGGCGTAAATTGCAGTATTTATACCATAGTTTGTAGACGCTATAACTTCCACACAAAGCAATCAATATACACTTATTGGGATTTTTTTTTACCAAAAACATGGAGCAGAATATATTTTGGCCTAAATTTATAACCAACTTTGAGTTTACGATATATTTTTTATAGCTGAAAATAAAAAAAATATTGTTTTTCTTCAAAATTTTTGGCCTTTTTTTGTTTATAGCGTGAAAAATAAAAAGCGCACAGGTGATCAAATACCACCGAAAGAAAGCTCTATTTGTGTGAAAAAAAGGACGTAGATTTCGTTTGGGTGCAGCATCGCATGACCGCGCAATTATCAGTTGAATTAGTGCAGCGCCAAGTAGCAAAAAGAGGCCTGGTCATTAAGGGGGGTAAATCCTCTGGAGCTCAAGTGGTTAATGTAGCAGCATGGCAGAGATCAGAGGTTTTTTCTAATCATTCCTCTTAACTGTTCTAATGTATGACCGGTTAATAACCAGCTAAATTTTTCTTCTCTCACAGATCCTCAGTCACAGCAAGCCTTCTACCTCACTGGTTACCCAGCCTCCTCCGTCTGTCATTCCATCTCTTGGTCACTCGGCTCCCTCCTATCACCCTTATACTTCTCTACCCCTTAGTGGCAACTCCAGCCCTCCGACCCCACCTGGAATCTCAAGTCTAAACTCCCAAACAATTCCCGGTTCCACCTCCAGCTCATTTTTCAACACTAATACAATGTCAGAGCTGGGAAAACGGGAAGGCAGCACTAGCTCTGAGGGCAGAGGAGACACTGATAAGGTATTAACATGTAATGCGTCTGTCTAGTAATGACCATGCCGTTAAATGTTCTGGGCGTTAATAGGATTCCAGCTTCCCCTGTTCTGTTGAAAATTGTCCTTTTTACATTTCAAAAAAATGTGTGTACGTGTCATGATTTATTTAATGCTTTTATACAGTTTAGTGTCACTTTTAAAGAGGAACTTTAGTCAGAAAATGAAGTCCTGCTAGATCCCTTCAGGCTGGCCCATTTTGCAGGTATAGCTATGTAAAACAATAAAAATAAGTGCATATTCTGTTTACATTTATTATTGCATTTTATTACTTCATTTTAATCTGCACATGCTCAGTTGCTCTTTATTTTTTGGCAATGTGCCGAAAATGTAGAGGCCGATCTACTGATAGCCTAAAGATTTACTGCTGCTCAGGGACTCTGGGCTTCAGCAAAATGGCAGCCTCCAACAAGGAGAAATGTGAACAATGCTGGAGGCAATTTCCAGCACACAGTAAATTTGGTGGCAGAATTATTAATGTAGCATGTATGTTCCTTGTTAAAGAACACTTTTATCAAGTTGCTTTGTCTAAAGTTCAGCTTTAAATATATGTAAGAAAACACTTTCTTTCCTTTTAAGACAGTCCAATTCCAAAGAAATTCCAAATTTAATGGTCATGTTGTATGATGTGAGCAGTCTCCACTTCAGGGAAGGAAAATTATAGGATGAGTCTATGCTAGAGAACCATTCAGCTTCATAGTCAAGTAGGGCACAAAAACAGAAAGTTCTTTACTTACAGTTCTGAGTTTCAAATATTGCTCTCCTGCAGTACATTTCACATGGAAAACAGGACATTCAGGGGACACTAGCAGGTCTGGTATGTAATGAAATCATACCTCCACTCAGTCTGTCCTTAAAGGAGAGGTAGGGCCAAAGCTGTTTTGGCCCTACTTCTCCTATAGGTCACAGGAGTGTACTTCGTTCTGCACTCATGTCACCCTGATTCAGCCGACAGCAGGCTAAAGTCCGCTGTCGGCTGATGCCACTCAGCCGGTCCAGACTTTGGAGGGATCCTAACTTTAATGTCGGGATCCGCCAAGATGCCTACCCAACAGCTGGTTCAGCCTCTCGTCGTGCTGCTGAAAGCCTGAGCCAGCTGCTCCTGCCCGCTTCCACAGTGGGGCAGAGCAGAGCCAGTGACTGACAGTCACCACACTCTACTCAGTAAAGACTGAGAACTGAACAATCGGCAATCTTTGATCGCTCCGTTCTCAGTCTTAAAGGCAGCGGGGACAGATGTACCATCGATCTGATGCTGCATCTATGTAGGTTTCTTTTTTTTTTTTTTTTTTCCAAACTCCAAACTTCTCTTTTAATCAGCTGGAATTTGGACACCATAGTGTGCACCCTTGGCTTTTATGAGGAGTACAGGAACTTATCAAAGTTGACTACTCCCCAGCTCCATTTTGGCCCATCTTTAAGTGGTCACCATAACTAGCAAAGAGATGTAGTAGGGGATGGGTCAAAGTGCTCACTTTCTAGCTGATTTGGTGTTTTCATTAAACGCCCCTGGTTTTCAGCGTAGTTTGACTATTTTCCCACCAGGCCAATTCTGACACTTCTTTCCTACATGTAAAAATTAGTTTTTTGTTTGCTTTAAAAAAAAACAAACAAACAAAATAACTACTTACAACCCCCAAACATTATATCTTTTTAAGCAGAGACTCTAGAGAATAAAATGGTGTTTGTTGCATATTTTTTATGTCACATGATATTTGCGCAGCTGTGTTTCAAATGTAGGTTGTTTTTTTTTTTTTTTGTTTGGTTTTTGTTTTTTTTAAATCCAGTTTAAAGACTTTTAATGCACAAGATCATGGTAAAATGCAGTCTGGTTTAGATGGTGCGGGTCGAGATTGCATATCCACTGGAGACATTTTTCATTTTTTTTTTTTTTTTTTTTGTGTGTGTTTATGGTGGTCGTTGGCTTTTCCTTACAACCGAAGTGTTAGGGCCAATTCACACCAGTGCGTTGATCTGCATTTTAGCACAGCTGTAAAATGCTGATCAACGGAAGAACATCTGAAAAACAATAATTTCCAGTGTGTCCTATTCACCATAATACTGCGTTGACCTGCATTGCGCTAAAATGCAACATGTATACATTTTAACGCAACGGATGTTAGTGGATGTCAACACGGTGCACAGTATACTCTGTGAAAATGCAATGTATTATTATTATTATACAGGATTTATATATTATTATTATTTATTATACAGGATTTATATATTATTATTATACAGGATTTTTTATTATTATTATTATACAGGATTTATATATTATTATTTATACAGGATTTATATATTATTATTATTATTATACAGGATTTATATATTATTATTATTATTATACAGGATTTATATATTATTATTATTATTATACAGGATTTATATATTATTATTATTATTATACAGGATTTATATATTATTATTATTATTATACAGGATTTATTATTATTATTATTATACAGGATTTATATATTATTATTATTATACAGGATTTTATATATTATTTATTATTATATTATTATTATTATTATTATACAGGATTTATATATTATTATTATTATTATACAGGATTTTATATGGCGCCAACAGTTTGCTCAGCACTTTACAATATAACGGGAGACAATACAGCAACAATACAGTTCACTACAAGAGGGTTAGGAGGGCCCTGATCCTGGGAGCTTACAATATAATAGGGAGGGGCTGGTGGTACAAAAAAGGTAATAACTGTGGAGGATGGACTTATTATTATTCAGGATTTATATATTAAGTCCATCCCCCCACAGTTATTACCTTTTTTTTTTTTGTACCACTAGCCCCTCCCTCTTAGATTGTAAGCTCCGAGGAGCAGGGCCCTCCTATCCCTCTTGTATTGATCTGTATTGTTGCTGTATTGTCTCCTGTTATATTGTAAAGCGCGCTGAGCAAACTGTTGGTGTTATATAAATCTTTATAATCTAATGTCCATAATGCTGTATTTTCCCTAACTTCTCTAGTTCTGACTGAATAATGTTTGACCTAGAGAGAAAATAACCTAATGACCATTCAGTTATTTTTTTTTTTTTGCACTTTAAAATGTGTACACACGGTTTCACAGGATGAATAGCTCTGCAATCCAGTTTTTGTTTTTTTTTGTGTTTGTTTTTTTTTTTTTTTTTTTGGTTTTGTTGTGTTTTTTTTGTTTGGTTTTGTTGTGTTTTTTTTGTTTGGTTTTTTTTTTTTTTTTTTTTTTTGTTTGTGTTTTTTTTTTTTTTTTGTTTGGTTTTGTTGTGTTTTTTTGTTTGGTTTTGTTGTGCTTTTTGTTTGTGTGGGTTTTTTTTTATAAATATACCTCCTAGTGTTTTTATTTGATTTTGCTACTAATTTAACTAACGGGTTCAGTGTAGTGCTCATCGCGTTACATTATAGTGGGAGACAATACAGCAACAATACAGTTCAATACAAGAGGGATTTGAGGGCCCTGATCCTGGGAGCTTACAATCTAGGAGGGAGGGGTTAGTGGTACAAAAGGTAATAACTGTGGGGGATGGAGTGGTTGGAAGAGTAGAAGATTCCATTATTAGCTGAGGGCGGGGGATAGATGTATGCTTTAATGTACGCTAAAATACATGTCAGCGTATGTCCGGGAGTGACTAAAATGCATGGAAATGCACATCCATTTTCTGTACATTTTTTGCGCAAGTCAGTGTGAATTGGCCCTGATAGTTTGTTTTTACAGGTCCTGCCAGATTATTTCCCCATCTTTCTTTTCTATTAATTTTAGAAAGCAATTAGTAAAGATTTGTCTTGACGTTTTATCGTTTTATTCCCTATCAGTATCTGAAGAAGCTGCATACACAGGAGAGAGCAGTAGAAGAGGTAAAACTGGCCATTAAACCCTATTATCAAAGAAAAGAGATCACAAAGGAAGATTATAAAGATATCCTTAGGAAAGCTGTACATAAGGTGAGAGACTGACCTCTTCAGTATTGCATGTACATACATTGTCATTGTCATCAATTGGTTTGTGTAAAAGGGGTTTATTATCCTTCATGGATAAATATGGAATGGATTCCAAATATTAATGTGAGAGGAGAAGTGGTGTTTGATGCCCAAGGATAATGAATTTACTAGTGTTAAAGCAGCTGAAAAGTTCTTACTCAAAATCTACCCCCTATGATATCTATCTCCTATGACACTTTCTTTTAAGCCCGGGTTCACATATATGCAGTGCGGTATATCGCATGTGATTCGCACAGGAACTGCACCGCATTCCTGTGCGAATCACATGCGATTTGTGTGCGGTGCGATTGGAGCCGTACTTTCTGTATGGCTCTAATCGCACTGCGCACTGCATCCGCACCAAAAACGTGCAGGATCCTTTTTTTTTGGTCGGCAGCAGAATCGGATCACATGGGTATTCACACCTATGCGATCCGATTCTGCACATCGCACCGCCTTTTGGGGAGCGCTTTTGGGGTGTTGTTAACTTTGCATGAACGGGGTGCGATTCTGATGAAGTGCGTAATTCGCAGAGAAAACGCTGCAAATTCCGCACCGCATCAGTGTGAATCGGGCTTAATCCCATAAATCTTGTTTACATAGAGATGCATTTCTGTGCTCACTCTGTTAGCACTGCAGGTCCCAGAGACCTCAACACTATGGTGGTTCCTCCATCACACTCTCCTGGCCACTCAAAAAAGAGAGCCAGGGGCTGTGTTTTATGAAAGGCCAGAAGGAGACGGAGATGCAACGGTAGCATTGAAGTCTGAGAGATCTGCAGCTCAAAGTGGGCACAGAAGTACAGCTGTAACTGCACTACCGTCCGCATGTAAACAAGGTGGTGATCAAGATTTAAAAGATAACGTAAGTTCATTGGGGTTGAATTACTAAAGGCAAATATACTGTGCACTGCAAGTGCAGTCTCTCCAGAGCTTGGTAAACGAGGTAAGGCTTCACTTTGCAAAGAATACCCAATCGCATGCAAGGAAAAAAAAAACAGCAGTTTTGCTTGCACATGATTGGATGATAGAAATCATCAGAGCTTCCCCTTAGATCTGCACTTACAGTGCACAGACTATTTGCTAGTGGTGCACCGAAATGAAAACTCTGGTGCCAAAACTGAAAATTCAAAATGCACTTGGCTGAAAACCGAAACCGAAATGCGCAATTTTTAAAAATGAATCTATATTTTTTTGAAAAAAATATACTTTGATTGAAAAAAAAAAAAAAAAATATACCCCAATTGTTTTGTAAAATATGAAAGAGGATGTTACGGAGAGTAAATAGATACCCAACATGTCATGCTTTAAAATTGCGCACGCTTGTGGAATGGCGTGAAACTGCGGTACTACTTCAAAATCTCCATGGGTGATGCTTTAAACATTTTCACAGGTAAGCAGTGTAAAGTTACAGAGGAGGTCTAGTGGGAGAATTCTTGCTCTTGCTCTGACGTTCATGGCGATACCTCACATGTGTAGTTTGAACACCATTTACATATGTGGGCATGGCCTACGTTTGCATTCACCACTACGTGCGAGCACGAGGGGGGCGGGGGTACTTTAAAAAAAAAAATTTTTTCACTTTATTTCAATTTTTTTTTTTTTTTTTTTGCACTTTCCCTTTAAAAAAAATTTGTAATCCCTTATTTTTATCACAAGAAATGCATGCATCCCTTGTGATAGAAATAATTAGTGACAGGTTCTCTTTATGGAGAGCTATGGGGTCAATAAGACCCCACATCTCTCCTCTGCAATAAAAAGCATTGATCTAGTGCTTTAGAAAAAAAAAAAAATGGCCGGAAGTGACATCTCTCCGGTCCTCCAAGGGCATAGAGATGAGGGGAGGCCATCTTTCCTTCACTTATCTCTACGCCCAGCGCCGGGATCGTTCGACCATTTCTCAGGTAAGGCTGAGAACTACCGAGTGGTGGCGGTGAGGGGTGGGGTTTTTTCGGCACCTGCATCGGTGCTTCTTTTCATTTCGACCAACAGCCGAAAGGGGTGTTTTCGGCCGAAACGTTTCAGCCAAGAAAATTTCGGTGCATCCCTACTATTTGCCTTTAGTAAAGCAGCCCCATTGTGTCTGGAGTTTGGCTTTAAAACCTTGTTTTTACAGTGATTTGATTGTGATCAACTGACAAAATCTTCATCGTGTGCGGGACCATTATCATGGTGGAGAATCTAGAGTTCCCAACTTTTCCTCTGAACTGATTCCTGTAACCTTTCTCCACATTTGATCTGCCCTTGTGTTTTTGGCTGCCCACTTCTTGTGTTATCGTGGACCTCTTCCCGCCCCTCCGTGAACTTCCTATGCCATTTAAAGACTCCTAACCTCCCTGGCGGTATTCCCGAGTGTAGCTCGGGGTAAAGTTTTCAGCACCAAAAGCGGTAACCCTGATCTACACTCGGGAATACCTTATGATGAATATCTCTTCTTCACTTACCTTGTCCTGCGCTCCTGCGATGCCCCCCCTGCAGTATCCCCAGCAATGTCCTCCAGCCGATGCCGGCAGCTGTCTTCCGGGTTCTGTTCCCTGCGACGTCGGGACGTACGGGGGACGGAACGGCGGGAAATTTAAAAATGTTAAAAAGTGACATTCACTCAATACACTAAAATCACATAGTATAACATTCCTGTATCAAACCATTTCACATACATTTTGTCCCGAGTGCTTTGTCCGGCGCCCTGCCTGCATTTTTACTGTTCTTTCTGCCTGGAAACTGAGAAATGTCCATGGCGTCCAAAAAGCGTCCCTTTAGGTCAAAAGCGGTTTTAGACCGGCTAGAGAACAGCGATAGTAAATCGGAACCACTTGCAGAATTGAGTGATAATGATTCGTGGGGGAAATTCGTCATCAGACACTGAAAACGACTAGGATCAGTGATGTGTGAACTTGGCGCTCTATTTTAAATTTCAGTGTTTTTGTTTGATTATATTATTGAATTAAATTTATTATTATTATATTATTATTTTTATGATTATTTATTATATTATAATTTATGATTTTGTGTTTCAAATTTTATCCTACCCGGGATGTTTACTAGACTCTTGTTCGGACAGATTTCAGTGAGTTATTCCTAAAAATTACAGGCCTACAATATAAAAACAACATGCCAAAAAAATGTACTGCTTTGAGCACAGAAGTACTGACATAATCATACCGCTAGGGAGGTTAATTTATACTTGCAATGTTCACCATTAGCCTGTTGTAACATTTCACTTGCTCTTTTGCCAATTTTCATACAAAAGTTTGATAATTCGCTGCTCCAGATTCCTTTCCCTCGTTTTTCTATCCGCAACGCGCACACGGGTTATTTTTTCTACTACTCTGTAAAGACTGAGCCAACTGGTCTGCAACCCAGGAGTTCATGTCAGAACATGTCCGAGTGCAAATGGTCACTCACGCTATACCGTGAGAATTTTGGGAATTAAATTGTCGCACCTCGTACACAACCCTAAAGTAGTTTTCTGTGCCGTACAGCCAAAGGACAGAAAGAGATGGGCTGCTGCACTGCGCTCAAGTACATTGGTGGATATAGTAGAACTCCAGACAAAAAGTTTTTTTTTGTTTTTTTTTTTTTGTTTTTGGATATAGTGGATAATATTTAGGGCATCTCACCTTTTGTGGAGGAGATATTTCTACTTTTTGCGTTATGGATAGGACAAGCACTCTGATCACAAGCGACTAAACTTGTTAGAGGTCGCCGGTGCGAAGGGGTTAATTAAATCGGTAGTAAAGTTTCATAAAAGAAAAGAAAAAAAAAAGTCCAACTGCAAGATAATAGCATGATGTGTTCTTTTGCATTGCATGCTAACACATTATGAAACACTTTAAAATGAAGCCCTCCAGCGGCATGTTGTCACTGCTGACAGGGCTTCTATCTTCACCTGGTCTTCCTTTTGGGTTCGTAGGCTCTGGCCATGATGACGTCACTCACACGTGTGCATGGGAGTCATGGTCGTGGCACAGAGCTGTGAAGGGAGTGCATGCACAGGGCTGCAGAAACTAAAATATTTCCTAAACGGTGTACGTTTACAAGATATTCATTCAGAGAAGGGGGGGCGAGAGAGCGGGAAGGAGGGAGAGGCAGGGGCGTATCAACCATGAGGCAAACAAGGTGTTTGCCTAGGGTGGCAATTTTTAGGGGGGCAACACTGCCCCTTCCCCGGTAGAAGGGACCTTTTGAGAAGCAGCGGACAGCAGGAAGATCGATGTGGTGGGGCGTGGGGAAGGGCAGTTGCAGAGCAACGGTCGTGTACCTCTCCAGCAGCTGATGAGCCAGGACCAGGGAACAGCCTGGAGTGGGGAAAGAAGTGGCATAGAGGAAAGAGCCCGGAGGAGGTGAGCTGTGTTGTCTCCTGTGGGCTCTTCCTCCTGTCGTCCATCCAGCAGATTACACACTGACAGATTGTATGAGATTGCACACCCCCTCTTGGAGAGGGGGGGGGTGGTCCCATACGATCTGAGGAAGAGGGGGAGGGAGAGGAGAGGGGAGGGAGAGGGAAGGGGAGAGAGGGGAGGGAGAGGGGGAGAGGGGAGGAGAGAGGGAGGGAGTGGGAGGGAAGGGAGGGAGAGAGAGAGGGGAGGGAGAGGGAAGGAAGGGAGAGGGAAGGAAGGGAGAGAGAGGGGAGGGAGAGGGAAGGAAGGGAGAGAGAGAGGTGGGGAGGGAGAGGGAAGGGAGGGAGAGAGAGAGGGGAGGGAGAGGGAAGGAAGGGAGGAGAGAGGGGAGGCAGAGGGGGGGAAGGGAGAGGGAGGGGAGGGAGAGAGAGGAGGGAGGGAGGGAGGAGGGGGAAGGGAGGGGGAGAGGGGGAAGGGAGGGAAAGGGGAGGGGGGAGTGGAGGGGAGAAGGAAAGGGGAGTGGAGGGAGAAGGAAAGGGGAGTGGAGGGAGAGGGAAAGGGGAGTGGAGGGAGAGGGAAAGGGGAGAAAGGGGAGGGAGAGGGAAAGGGGAGGGAGAGGGGAGTGGAGGGAGAGGGAAGGGGGAGAGAGGGAGGGAAGAGGGAGAGGGAAGGGGGGAAAGAGGGAGAGGGGAGGGAAGGGGAAGAGAGAGAGGATGGGCAAGGGGAGAGGAGGGAGAGAGAAGGGGGGGAGAGAGAGAATCATATATACATACATACACTTCTTGAACTCTCTCGCTCTCTCATTGGGGGGGGGGGGGGCGGGGCGGGGCGGTGCAAAATGTGTTGCCTAGAGCAGCACAAAATCTAAATACACTACTGCCTACAGGTAAGCTTTACTATCCTCCTTTCTGTAGGTACAAGTGTACCGGCGGTGTTTTACAAATGCTTTAAACTCCTTCCTTTTTTGAAGGCCTCTATTTTGATTGTCATGCATTCTTCCACCTTAGATTTGCCACAGCAAGAGTGGAGAAATCAACCCAGTAAAAGTGAACAATCTGGTGAAAGCCTACGTCCAGCGTTACAAGTATTTCCGGAAACACGGGAAGAAAATGGAAGACGACGAAAGCAGCAGCAGTTACCGTGGCGGAAGAGAACCAGGGGCCCTTGAAAAAGGAATGCCTCCTTTACCATTAATATGAGCCCAAGGGGACTGCGTACCTTCACATAACTCATCAGTTTCTGTAAAAAACAAAACAAAAAAAAAAAAAACAACTTTATTGCTAGCGGCTAAGAGGGACAAAGGATGCTTTTATGCAACTATCTGTCAATCTTTAGAGATGCCTATCTTTAGAAATATATGTGACTCCTAAAAAAAACAGTTTCTCCCCCCTGCTCGTCCCGCCAGAGTTGGGATTGGCTCGGCAGGGCCACACGGTGCGCTCGCGTTCTCTGCTGACTCGTTTTAAATAGTCGTCTCTTGTAAATACTACGTTTGCTTCACAGATTTGCAGCTTTACTCTTTCTGTACCAGGTTTTAACTCTTACACGGTTTTCCTTCCATTATTATATTTTATTTTGCATGAAAGGACACATCTCCACCGTATCAGCACCTAGCAGGTCGTTGTTGTAACCTCCTACTGTTAGCTGTATTAAATTGCCATCCTGTAAGCCTTTCTCCCTGTTTGGCCTTTTTGTTGAGGATGTCATGTCTGGTGCGTTGTCCTCCTGGTGGGTCTGATTGTAATGGATTTTCTTTTTTCAGCTTAAAAACAATCCAATCAAAGATTTGGGTGAAGTGGCGTCAGGTTCACCTAAATCTCTGCAGGCTGTGCTGCAGTCAGGTTTTTATTGCTGTTTATGTTTCCGTTGGGGAGATTTATTGTCTCTATTCTTCCCGATCACCAGTGTCATCAGGAATGAAAGTGAGGGTAAATCCAAAATGTTTGAGTTGCCACCAAAACAGGAAGAGAGGGGAAATCTTGTAATGGGGACATTAGTTACTGTGGGATTTCCCTCATATTAGGAACAAAAATCTCCTACTTCCAATTCAAGTAGTTGTAAAGGCTGAAGGTTTTTTACCTTCATGCTCTCTATGCATGAAGGTAAAAAATCTTCTGTGAGCAACAGTGCCCCCCCAGCCCCCTCAATAATTACCTGAGCCCCATCGTGATCCAGCTATGTGAACAACAGCCTTGGCTGTCATGGGTCTCTGACTCCTAATTGGCTGAGACAGAAAGTGGGAGCCATTGGCTCCCGCTGTTGTCAATCACAGCCAGCCAGTCAGCAAAGGAGGAGAGAGAAGGGGCAGGGCTATGCCACGGGTCCATGTGTGAATGGACACAGGGAGCAGCGAGTGCCCCATAGCAAGCAGCTTGCTATGGGGGCACCCGCCAGAAAGGAGGAGCTAGGAGTGCTGGCCAGGGACCCAAGAAGAGGAGGATCCAGGCTGCTCTGTGCAAAACCACTGCACACAGCAGTTAAGTACAGCTGTGTTCAAAAGTAAAAAAAATGTTCTGTGAGCAACAGTGCCCCCCAGCCCCCTCAATACTTACCTGAGCCCCATCGTGATCCAGCTATGTGAACAACAGCCTTGGCTGTCACGGGTCTCTGCCTCCTGATTGGCTGAGACAGGAAGTGGGAGCCATTGGCTCCCGCTGTTGTCAATCACAGCCAGCCAGTCAGCCAATTAGGAGAGAAGGGGCAGGGCCATGCCGCTGGTCCACGTGTAAATGGACACGGAGCAGCGAGTGCCCCATAGCAAGCAGCTTGCTATGGGGACACCCAACAGAAAGGAGGAGCTAGGAGCATCGGCCAGGGACCCGAGAAGAGGAGGATCCAGGCTGCTCTGTGCAAAACCACCGTACACAGCAGGTAAGTACAGTTGTGCTCAAAAGTTTGCATACCCTGGCAGAAATTGTGACATTTTGGCACTGATATTGAAAATATGACTGATCATGCCAAAAAAATGCTCTTTTATTGAAGGATGATGATCATATGAAGCCATTTATTATCAAATAGTTGTTTGGCTCCTTTTTAAATCATAATAATAACAGAAATCACCCAAATGGCCCAGATCAGAAGTCTCCACCCCTGGATCAGAAGTCTCCGCCCTCGGATCAGAAGTCTCCCTCCCCTGCAATGTTCGGCCTTGGTACAGACACACAAGGTGACACACACGGGTTAAAATGCCATTTAGCGGTTGATGTCCCACATCTGTGGCTTGTTAACTTGCAATTCGTGTCAGTGTATAAATAGTCAATGAGTTTGTTAGCTCTTACGTGGAAGCACTGACTAGGCTAGATACTGAGCCATGGGGATCAGAAAAGAACTGTCAAAAGTCCTGCGTAACAAGGTAATGGAACTTTATAAAGATGGAAAAGGACATAAAAAGATGTCCAAGAGCAATTTTTTGGCATGATCAGCATTATTTTCAATATCAATGCCAAAATTTCACAATTTCTGCCAGGGTATGCAAACTGTTGAGCACAACTGTATAACATGCTTGTTATTTTGCAAAAAAAAAAAAAAAAAAAAGAACCTTTAGTATCGTTTTAGATGCAGATGGCAAAAAAACACAGCAGTTATAAACACAGTGTCTTTGTGGATAGCACTTCTGTCATGCATCCCTTAGGTCCTTGGATTTGATTCCTGCCAGGACACCATCTGCATGGAGGTTGCACATTCTCCCAGTGCTTGCATGAGTTTCCTTGATGTACTCTAATTTCCTCCCACACTCGAAAAACATGCTGTTAGGTTAATTGGCTTCTGTCTAAAAGTAGCCCTAGTATGAAATTCTGCTGAGCACGCCCAGTATGGCTCCCCTCATCTTCCCCAGCAGCAGATAAAGCGCTGAGTGTCCCTGGGGGGGGGGGGGGGGGGGGGGGAAAGAGCACTATAGACCTATACATTAAAGTGGTTGTAAAGGCCCGAGCATTTTTTACCTTCATGCATGTTATGCATGAAGGTAAAAAGCCTTCTGTGTGCAGCTCCCCCCCCCCCCTTCCCCAATACTTACGTGAGCCCCCATTTCAGTCCAGCGATGTGCAAGAGAGCAGCAGCTCTCCTGGGTCTCTCCCTCCTCATTGCTGCCATTGGCTCCCACTTCTGTCATTGACAGCCATTGAGCCAATAATGAGAGAGTGGGGGATGGGGCCGAGCCACGCTCTGTGTTTGAATAGACAGACAGAGCAGCATCTCTGGAGTCTCCATAGCAAGCTGCTTGCTACGGGGGTAGGAGGGAGGGGCCAGGAGTGCTGACTGAGGACCTGAGAAGAGGAGGATCGGAGCTGCTCTGTGCAAAACGATTGCACAGAGCAGGTAAGTATAACATGTTTTATTAAAAAAAATAAATAAATAAATAATCAGCTTTTAATATCACTTTAATAAAATATTTGTAACCCTCCCCACTATATCCAAAATGGGGGGGGGGGGGGGGGGGTTTGGCTATAAATATATTAGATATATTTGAATCAGTTGTTGGATAAAGAGGAATTGATATGTTCGCACTTTTATTTACATTTTTTTTTTTTTTTTTTATTAAGACTGTATTGGAGGTTTAATATCAAGGTTTTCCCATGCGTTTGCTGTTATCTCTTTGATAGTGTTTTGTATATTTCAGGAACACATTTTTAAGCTTTTTAAGCTGCTATTATAACGTTTATCTGAATGTAATTTTTGACCTGATTTTTTTTTTTTTTTTTTTTTTTTTTTTTTTAATTTGTTGCATATATTACTGTAATGTATATACACTTTATAATGAATACAGAAGGTAAAAGTGATCATGTTCCCATGCAAGGCAAAGTAACAGGGTCACCTAAGGTTTTGCTCCCATCAGCCTGCAGGCTACCTGTTATTTTAGCGTGTAGCCATTGTGTGGTTCAGCGAGAGTCTGGTTTTTTTGTTTTTTTTTTTTGTTTTTTTTTTACTTTATTAAAAGGTCACAAAATGACATGCCATTCTTTTGTGTTCAAATTACAGTATGGTGACCAATGACTGCCATGCTTTGCAAACAAATGCAGCACGGCTGCATATTTATGCGCTGCAATCCACCTCAAGGCAATGTCGTGGTGTAAACCGAGCCCCTAGAAAATAATATTCTTAGTCCCCCCCCCCACATTGATGCAACTCAAATGATGTTGTGTGAATGAGCACTAACTTGTCCCTCTTTCCTCACTGCTCTGTTGAGCTGCTGTAGTGTATAGAAAAAAAAAAAAACCCTTGTATAAGCCCCCATTTGATGAGGTCATAGCTAATACAAACCTAAAGACTCTTAGCCAGCCCCCACTAACAGAGCCTTTTTTATTATATTTATTTATTTCAGGTACTTATATAGCGCCGTCAATTCGCGCAGAGCTTTACATATCTATTGTACATTCACATCAGTCGCTAACCCACAAGGGGAGTACAATCTAAGGTCCCTAACTCACATTCATACATACACATACTAGGGACAATTTACGCAGCACTTTACATATATATTGTACATTCACATCAGTCCCTAACCCTCAAGGGGCGTACAATCTAAGGTCCCTAACTTACATTCATACATACACATACTAGGGACAATTTACGCAGCACTTTACATATATATTGTACATTCACATCAGTCGCTAACCTCAAAGGGCGTACAATCGAAGGACCCTAACTCACATTCATATACTAGGACCAATTAACCTACCAGCATGTTTTTTTGGAGTGTGAGAGGAAACCAGAGTACCCGGAGGAAACCCACACAGGCACAGGGAGAACATGCAAACTCCAGGCAGGTAGTGCCGTGGTTGGGATTCGAACCAACGACCCCTAGTACTGCCAGGCGGAATGCTAACCATTTAAGCACCCAGAGCTGCATCAAAGGCAGAGAGTCACATGCTTCCCCTCACTTTTGATTCCCAACTCCAGGCACATGATGACTTTCCCAGGTTTACGGCAGTGATTATGCTTTAAATACATAAAAGTGCAGCGCTGAAAAAGTTACAAATAATCGTAAGAAAACAGTGGAAAATGTGTCAAAAAAAATAGTCCATCCAAAAGAAAAGTCCCAGAGACTGTGATGAAACAAAAGAAATCCAAGGACAGTTGTCGTGTCACCAACCACTATTACAGAAGGGTTTCCAGAAAGGCTGACCCCCTGTTAAGGCTCCATGTACACGGGACACTTCTGAACGATGGAAACTGACGGTTAAAAAATGTCTGTTTAGCC